GAATCAACATCGGTTTTTACACCATATCATACGAATAGAAAGTACCGTGTTTTAGTTTTTTAAAAAAAATTAAGAAACTAAGTAAATCTCAATTGGCGTCTTAATTGAATTCTACGCAGTTTTCAGAGAGAACCAGATAATCCAGTCTTACAAAAAGTCATTGCATTAAACGCAGAGATTTTTAAAGAAAAATTACTTCTAAGATATCAAACACTTTTATCAATTTAGGCAGAAAAGTTTCACAACGCTGTGTTAAAAAACAAATGTAGTTATTTTAGTGAAATCATGGCTGTGTTGATGTCGACACAATCACAAACACTTCGAGAAAAGAGTCATGTAACCTCGACGTGAACAATCGTGTCACCCGAAAAAGCTATTAATCAACAAGAAGCAAAGAAGACTTCTTGAATTAACAAAGCACTATAAGAAATTAAATTTTGAAAAAAACTGTCACCATGTTATCTTTACTGACCAACTAGGCATTAATATTTCAGATCGGACGATCGTTCTTATCTGTCTGGGGCGGCGTCCTCCCACAGCTGTCGTACCAAGTTGGTGTCGCTCTCAAAAAGGTGAGAGAATATTCTCAATTCATTGGTCAAGTGTATGGACCTGTTTTAAAGAACGCCCTACCACGGTTCCGTGCTAGCCGTTGCTATGGAATACAATACTTAATTAGTTCTTCTAAACTTTCTAGGAAATGAACTTTGCTTCTTAAAACAGTCTTTCAAAATCTCTGTAGGCTGAGAATATTTAAATGATGGTGAGACTCACAAAACAGAAACGGTTGCATTTCTTTAAAAAATATATATTATCAATATTCAGTGTTTGATTAAGCTAATTTAAATCTCGGTACTATGTATCATCTTAAAAATATGAACAAGAAGAATATCTTTGTTTCATGATCTTGAGAACTATTTTGAAACAAATGCCATAATTAAGAAATAAGTAGATTAGGTTGAAGATACACATTATCATCAAAAAAATTTCTGTTTGCTTAATAATTGATTGATCAGCCTCTATTATTTATATTGATATACAGACCAGTGGACTACAAAGGGACAGAAAAAACGAGAGTATATGTTCCTTCTGTGTGTACCTAGTGTTCACTGAACGTTTAAACCAGCCTCTCAAGATCCATGTCATTTGGATTATTGCGATACTATTGGTCTGGATCACGAATTCAAATTCGATAGCTTGGATATCACCAGGAAATTTATGTTTTGGCTATGCTGCTTTATCGCTCATGAGATGTGAGATCTTTCCTCTAATACTAAAGGTAACAAACTTATTCACCCTTTTTTCTTTCTGACGTTTTCTGCTATCTACCCAAGGACTAAATTATTGGAAATCAATGTTTAGGAATAACCTTTTTAGCAGCCAAGAACATATTCATTAGCTTTATTGCCACTGTATATCAAGAAATAGTTCAATAAATGAAGTGTACGATGACAAGCGTGATTTTTTTACCTGCCCTTTTAATACCCTAATATCGCCTGCATTAGTGAAGAGGCACATGTATCCTAGTATTATCAAATTAATCGACAATAATTTGCCGTGATTCCTAACACAATAAAATCTCCCGGACTTTATTAATACAATAGGATATCAAAAACCTGTGCTTTGGTAATCATCATCACTAGATGATGGATTCTACATAACTTTATTGACAAAGACAGTTAGCTTATTACATCTTGATTGTTTAACAAGGTGTGCTGCTACTAAAAATTAGTTTCATGTACTTTATTTTTTGCAAGCCTTCGACACAAGTAATTAAACACAATTAAATGTGTTTTCACCTTTAAAAAAATGGTGAGCTAATCCACCCAGGCAAATTTTGTCGTTTATTCATGTTTTAATTAGTCCTCTTAGAAGACGAGTGGTCATATTTTTGCTGCTATATGATTAAAGCAGCCATCTGTGGATATTCTAGTTGGATAATTTAATCGCTAAATTGATATTTGGTATAATAGTTTATATTAGGGCCAAATTACGATACACATCTCCCTGTTAAGAGGCTCTTTTACGGAGGCTTTGTTTATTGATAGATTCCTTACTTAAAAGGAGGCAGCATTTTTTTCAACTAGTTTGTCATTTAGAGTTGTGGACCTATTTTTCAATTTAGCAGAGAAGGGATGTAAGTTTGTTTCTATAATAATACCATCGTGAATAAGCTAAACAGCTGTTCAATTTACACTGCTAGTTTGCCATGTTTCGGTAGGGATAGCATTCCGAGAACTATCGCTGGTAGCGATGTTTCATATAGTTAAACAGATCTCGTGCAAGAACGTTTCTGTCGAATGCGTATGGGCGTTTTGTTTTCTATTGACGGCAGTGTAGATATCTTAAAATGTTACAGTTGAAACTGCAGCTTTGTGACAGCTGAAAATGGAATCTGTAACGCATTCTTCAAGTACTGAGCAGTATGTCCGAGTCCCTTGGTGATGGAAGATACCATTAAAGTGTTAAATGTAAGAATATCCACAGTTATGTTTTGGAAATGTGGACGAAAAAGGTTGTAATAAAGTGTGCAACTTACATATTGTCATGTAGACGTATTAAGCTGGACAGTTTTATAAACATCAGGTGTCCTCCCTTTTTTCTCTTCTTTAAAACAAAACAGGGCCCGATTGACAGCAACGCTGTGATTTAACATGTTTATTTATGAGACATATGTCACCTATTGGAAAATAAAATCGTCTTTGACATTATTAAACCATGTGCGAATGAGTTTTCTTGTTTGATTTATAACAAAAAAAAAAAATAATTAGAACTGTTAGATGCATCGTAATATTAGATACAAGCTCACCTCAGCATTTGCCAGACAAAGATATAAACATAATATCACTTGTTATAATAAAGGAAAAATGGACGTCAATACCAGTCAGCAAATTGTACGCAACTGTTCTTGTAGGAGTACTCTTAGATAAACATATAAACCTCGACTTAGAGATCTTCGCTAAAGGGATCAATGAAAGAATGTACAACTCGCCAGTTTGTTATGCCACTTTAAATAAAATTTATTTAGGTTCAAATTATTCTAGATCAATGTTATCATGCTACAACCGCGAGAAACTTGTCAATCTATTTAGTGCTTGTTCTCTGAAGTAACACCGGGCGTTACTTGAACAACCAGGTCAAAACTGCTTTACCTACTCCATTAACAAAGTATAAAACTATATAGTTAAACTCATGGATGCGGATGATTTATATATAAGGATTACCGAAGTATCCGTTGTATTTTTTATTATACAAAAATGTGTTGAACTTTTTACAAGAGAGAAGGAATAAAGGGTGTGAAGGGTACTTTTTTTTTTTGTTTTTTTTTTGTTTGGTTTTATCTAATTAAATGCTGATGGTTGAAGTGTTGAACGTGTGCTTAAAGCAAATATTATAAAAATGGAAGTGAAAAAAAAAGACGGAGATATATGATTGGGTTTTTTTTAGATAGTGACAGTAGCATTGATCTTGGTAGCATCGAAACCGGGCATAGGGAAACTACGAGCGAATTCAACGACTTCCTTCTTCAATTGAGCGATTTCTTGGTTACCATCAAGAGCAGCGACAAAGTCCTTCATCAACTTAGAACCACACTTTTCTTGAACATCCAAAGCAATTTGAACAGTTCTGTGAAGATATTCGGCGACCTTGACAAAGTCATCTTCCTTCAAAGAGCGAGAGGTCAATGCAGAAGCACCAAGACGGACACCACCGGGGGTGACAGCGGACTTATCACCGGCAATAGAGTTCTTGTTGATGGTAATATGAACCATATCACAGATACGCTCAACCTTGGAACCAGTCAACTTTTGAGGCTTCAAATCCCAAAGAACCAAATGGTTGACAGTGGTACCAGTAGCCAACTTATAACCGTAAGAGGCAAGAGTATCAGCGAGCTTCAAGGCATTGGCACGAACTTGCTTGGCGTATAACTTGAATTCGGGAGAAGCAGCTTGCTTCAAAGCAACAGCAACAGCAGCAATGGTGTTGTTGTGAGGTCCACCTTGACAAGAGGGGAAGACGGCTTGGTTAACACGAGATTCGAGCTTATCACCCTTATCACGACGGAAGAAAATCAAACCAGCACGAGGACCACGAAGAGTCTTGTGGGTGGTGGTGGTAACGATATCACAGAAATCGAAAGGAGATAAAGCTTCCTTACCGGCAATCAAACCGGAAATATGAGCCATATCACACATGAGGTAAGCACCATGTTGGTCAGCAACCTTACGCATAGTATCATATTCCCACTCGGCAGGGTAAGCAGAAGCACCACAAATCAACAATTGAGGACGGAAAAGAGCAGCATTCTCTTCGAGACGCTTATAATCAATCAAACCGGTAGTGGGATCAACTTGATAAGGCATGGAAGCAAAGTAGATAGAAGAAGCGGAAATCTTCTTCTTGGCGGTTTGATAACCGTGAGTTAAATGACCACCAGAGGGGAGATCAAGACCCATAAGACGATCTTGAGGTTGGATCAATGCAGTCAAAGCGGCAAAGTTGGCAGTGGAACCAGAATAAGGTTGAACATTGACACCCCATTGTTCAGGGTTCAAACCGAAAGCGGCCAAAGCACGTTGTTGGCAGAGAACTTCGAGTTGATCAATGAACTCGTTACCACCATAGTAACGAGCACCGGGAAGACCTTCGGAGTACTTGTTGGTTAAAGCAGTACCGTTGGCTTCGATGACAGCTTGAGAGGTGAAGTTCTATAATTGTGATTAATTTACAAACTCCCTCTTTAATTGTTTTGACCCAACACGTTATTAGACGCGCTTCCTAACTTACCTCAGAGGCAATAAGCTCTAAACCAGACCATTGTCTAAGCTTTTCGTTCTCAACAATTTCATAAATCTCCTTATCCTCTTGTTCAAGAGTGGTGTTGAGACAGGTGTTCCAAGAATCAGTAGCTTTAACGGACATGTTGAATAAAATTTGCTTGTTTTTTTAAGAAAAAAAAGTAAAGAAATATGTAGAAAAAAAAATTGGAGAAATTCAGCTCGCTTTAATATAGTGGCTTGCCTCTCCAGATTAGACGGCGATTTAAATTTAGAAATAGATTAAAAGATGGATGAAATGTTTTGGATAATCCAATCATTTTTGAACAAAGTGGTCGTTCACACCAAAATTTTAGGAGATGGAAAAAGATGGCTCATTGTAAGAGTCATTAAAAACTCCGCCTGTTTACATTTTATTTTTTTGATATTTTAGGCGGTGGTTGATCCTCGCTTGGAAATATCAAGCTCAATGACCTCGATAGCTTCGGAGACCTTTCTAAATACATGATCTTGACCTACTAAATACAATAAACCAGACTTTTTGAACATGCCAAATGGTTGCTCTCGAAGTCTTACAAAGTAGACCTCGACTGATCTCGCTTTGTATGTTTCTACGATTTCGTAGAAAATTTGAATGGCGCTATAATATTTCAAAATATGCGTGTTTTAGAAATAAGTAAAACGTACAGTAGTTCTGTTATATGGCTTACCTGGCATCAATCGATGGCATACTGCTAACATCAAAAATGGTATACAATGACTCGCTTCGGCGAGGGCTCTCTGAAGGGTGAATAGACATATCACCAAACATTTCTAATCTTCTTAATCGGTCTTTTAATTGACCTTTTACAAGAGTGGAGGGGGGGGGGAGAAAAAAAGATTTGGGTCATTTAGCATGAAAGACGTGGATTAGATTACGATGGGATCTTAAAGATATCTTACCTGTGTTTGCAAAGAATAACGCTTCTTCAATACGAACAATGAGCACATCTTGTAAATGCTCGATTTCGGTTGGATCATCTTGAATAGGCTTAAATTTATTCACTGATCCCTTTACTCTACCCTGTTAAAAAAAAAAAAAAAAAAAAAAAAAAAAGATGGGGAGTTAGTCATAGTCATAGAGGGACAAAATAGTAAAATCTATTTTATAACTAGTCACGGTCAACTTATCCCCCCACCCGTTCTTTTCCCGTAAATTACTTACCATGATTGAAATCCGGGGATAACTTGTCTCACGAATTGTTAAGAGAAGTGACAATGTTACTGCTAAAAGAGTACCAAATTCAAGTGAGATGATGATCGTGGCAAAAAACGTAACCAGCAATAAACCCAAATCTCTCCAAGCACCAATTTTGAAAATAAAATGTAAATCTTCTGGAAGTTCTGAAAGAAGAGATAATACAGCTACGAAAATGATGGATGATAATACTGCCTTAGGCAAGTAGTAGAAGTAAGGTAACAAGAACAAGATGGCCATTAAAGCAATAGCACCAGTCACAAGACAGGCCATTTGAGTACGGGCACCGGCCTTGTCATTGATTTTACTACGAGACACCTAATAACACGCATGAGTAAAATACCCCACACACACACACTTTCTATTGACTGATGATGAACACTTACCGATCCAAAGGCGGGAATTCCTTGAAATAATCCACTACATACATTGGCTACACCCAAAGCGACCAACTCTCTGTTAGCACTGACGGAATAATTGTGTTTACTGGAATAAATCTTTGCAATGACAATTGATTCAACAAATCCAATCACTGAAATCATGGCGGAAGAGACCAATAAATCCTTCATATGCTTACTGGGTGGGAAAGAAGGGATAGAAGGAAGTGGTATACCAGCACTTTCAATCTTACCCAAAATAGCCAGGCCTTGATGTTCCCAATCGAAATGATATGTTAATAAGATGGCAGCAACGACGACCACCAAGACATCAGGGAAGAGTTGGAACCATTTCTTGGTTTGACCGTATTTCGATTTGATAATACGCATGTTGAATAAAATAGTTACAGCTACAGCCGAGATGGCAGTTGATAATCCATGTGCATACTTGATATTCTTTACCAAAAAATAAAGTCTTTCTACCGTAGTAGATGCTTCTGAGATGCCCCAACTTTGACTTCTTTCTACCAAACCTAATAATGTAATACCTTGCTGGACCATAACAACAAGTGCTACACCACTGATGAAACCACGTAAAAGAGCTCTACTCATGAGACTATCCAAGAAACCAAGTCTGAATATACCAAGCAAGAATGTAAAGAGACCCACAAAGAGTGTCATGAGGCATGACCAGGCCAGTGGGTCAATTTCATAATCATCTGACTTGATATGTTGTTGTTGTGCAATAGAGGAACCGATTAAAAGAGCTAAAGTTGCTTCAGGTCCCACAGACATTTGTCTAAAATTCGGGTTATTCATGAACTCTAAATATTCTTTATGTGTTTCCCATACCTTGACATGCCAAAAAAAGCATAGGATATAGCAGGGAATGCAATACCGTATAAACCGTGAATTGCATCCAACTTACAGAGCGCAGTTGCATAAGACAAACCTTGTGGAATTAACAAACAAGCCAATGTGATACCTGCGAGACAATCTCCCAGAAATAAGTGTCGGTTATAAAGAGGTAACCATTGAAGGATAGGAAGGTAATACTTTGATCGAATTTTTAAAGTGCTCCATAAATCTTTGGGTGCTTCGTCACTTAATCTCGCTGATGGTACTGTGCATGAAAAATGTACGCTTTTATTATTATTTAAATTCATTTTATGTGTATACATAATATATCTTGTTAAAAAAAAACATTATCGACACTTACAGGGCGAGGAAGTCAGATAGCGTGGAATTTGGTCTTCGACACTCAACAACATTTGAGTTTCTGCAAAGGCATTAGGAGGATGGATCTCTTCATCATCTGTGTCTTCTAAATGAATTGAACGAGCACCTAACAAAACAAAAAAATCGGTTGGGTTTTAAAATTTTGTCAATAAGTCAAAAAAAAAAACACAACTTACTACTCGGAGTCGATAGATTGTCCGACTTAAACATTTCTACGAAAAAAAAGGGAAAGGTGGAAGGAGAGGCAATTTATCGAGCAAAATGGACTTTTTATCCATAAAAAAAAAAAAAAAAAAAAAAAAGAAGGTTATGCAATATTTCCAAAAGGCGGTGTGGGACCCGCCTAAGTGTGACCGTATATGTGTGATTTGGCAACTATTAAAGCCCCTATGAAATATGTATCTCCACTGCCCCCCCTTCTCTCGCTTTTACGCTGTATTATCTCCTCCTTTGAAACAGGCCAAGTACAAATATATACAGATTAAATCCATTTCATTCAGGCTTGCATTTTTTTTTTTTTTTGCACGTATTCGATCAAATCGAGTATGACGCTTTCTTCTCATTTGACCTTATGATACACCGGTGTAAAGACACCCGATATCTTATCCCTTTTGTGTCAGTGCGTGACTTATACTGAAATATCTAATTCTAGGCTCGGTCTACTCACTACACACACAAAAGAGAAAATTAACATTTCAAAGACACGTTTCCTCAAAATCACTAATCTAAAAATAGGCTTTCCGGTGTCAAGAAAATGACCCCGTTCGTATGATTTATGATCTTTATACTACCTGGACCTGATGATAATGATGATTAGAAATTGTCGGCACTTAAACATTGCCATTTCTGTGTAAAGTTTCTGCAACGGAAGAGACCTTTCAAAAAGTATCCGGTAGGGTTCTTTAGCAAATGAAACTGTATCAATTAGTCGCATTTGACTTGTCACACGAGCTATATACTTTATCAGGTTTGTTTAAAAAGGGGTTCATTCTAATGGAATGGTTATAAACCCGAAAATGTGGGGTAAATGTAGGCGTAACTCTCTCTTAGTTAAAAAAAAAAACCTTATAAACAGCGTGAGAATTCACCTGGGTCCTGAATTTGTCATTGCTGATGTGATAATACACTATATTGTTAGTGGGTCATCTCTCTCCTCAAAGATAATACAAGAGAAGGTTTGCGCTTCCCTCTCCCTATATTCTAGATTTCTCTTATGTAAATCTTTATAAGCTGCTTGTACCATGTTAATCAGTAACGAATAGTAGGTATGTGCATCAAATACTGTTGTATTCAGTCATGCCCTCCGTTCTGTGCAATCTCTTATATTTAAACTCCACGGTGCTATTCAGTAGTTGTAACATAGTGTCATTTAGATTAAATATTATGGTAATATGAATTGATAGCATCAACAAATAAAACACTTCATTAGTCGTCATTTTGAAGGGCGAGTGACCTATCTCGGCTGTTTAGGTTATTTGTTATGTTTATAGCTTTAATTCACTATACACACAAAAAAAAGACTGACGATTACTGCTTTATAATGTGATGCGTATGGTTGGAAAAGAGAGAAGTGGGGGTGCTTCTTGCTAAGTGAATAACTGAGGTATGATCAACAACAAACAGTTTTGTATTCTATCCTGAAAATCAGGGACACTTCACATAACAAGTTAAAAAAAAGGGCCCTCGAACGCTATCACACAACACCGCTTGAAAGAAATTATATATATACAAACAGAGGGTTACATTAGAGCAAATAAAGTAGTAATGAGAGAAGCTTATTTCGAGAATGTTATTGATGAGATAAATGTACATGTCTACAACAGTCAATGTTGAGATGGAACAGAAAAGTGCATCTGAAGCAACTGAGACTCATGTCGAAACTAGTGGCAGGTTGTAAAGCTTATGGGCCTTACAATATTAGAATATTTCTCTAGCTTATGCAATAAGAGGAAGTCGGCTGAAGTGGGTAAAATTTAGAAAGAGCTTCTCCCCTATCAGCCAACAAAGAAAAGCCAAAGTAAGGTACAACTGCGTATAATGTTGTAACTTTCTTCCGAAACTTCATGCATGTGGGTCTCTTAGGGACAGTAATGTAGGATTATCGCCTCGAACTAAATGCAGATTTATCACAATTAACATATGTTATAGCTTACTTCCAACTTTTCGTTTGAACTTAATCCTAATATTTCTGCGTAAAATTAAGAACCAATGAGCTCAAGGACGAAAGAGTAACGATGGGATTGTTGGAAGAGAAATAATCGTTCAAGATACATTCGTTCATAACTATTACGTTGCTTTTGATTGTATATTCTTAATTCCAAGTCTTAAGGGCAGCTACGACACCGATCTTACGTCGTGACTACGTGGACTTTGGCTCTCTCTAAGTAAAGCGAAAATGCAAATGTTCTTCAATGGTTTGGCGAATTAAAACAAGTGCAAAAGAAAGCAAACAAACCACAACAAACGAAAGGAGACAACTTTAGTATATTCTTGTCTATAACCGAACTGCAGATCAGCTATTAGAAGATACGTATACATGCCATAGGGTATTACTTATTGTCTTAAATAACTGTTTTGCAGCATGTATGATAGATCACACAAAGAGAAGTTTGGGCCGGGAGATCGAGTTTGGTTATTTTCGACAACGGTCATAAACAATGACCAAGTAAAGTTTAGAGGGTTACGAGATGGTGTCACGAATCAACTTTGCGACCAGCTAAAAAGGAGGCAAAGCCTTGGAAAATTGTTGCTTTTGGGTATATACAAACTTAAGACATCGAAGGTTAGTACAACATGCTACTATTTAAGTAAGACATTCTGGGCCGACATTCTTTAGTAGATATATAGCTTTTGCTCCGAAACAATTTTCGGCGGTGGGGATTTCTACAAAAGTTTATCAAGTATTGTGAAAAGTCGTGGTGTGATGGCCGCAAAGGATATGTTTTACATCGCTGCATTAATCTGGGGCGGAAATGACCGTCCCAATGTCTCTAGAGGACAAAGTGCTACCCTAGAGTGTAAGTTGTGGGGGTGCCGACTTTATATTTTTCCAGGTAAAAGCTGAATTGAATTTTATTTTTTTGCGAAAAACAGGTAAAAACTATTTTTTTATTTGTCTGAATTTTAAAGTATTCCGGTTACTATATTTGGACTGCCTCGTAAGCAGTATCTTTGATTGGTACGGGAAATAATCTTCCGGATTACGAGGCCTTGCGTATTAAACATATTTAATCGGGGCGGGCTGGGTATATAATTGAAGTTGAAAGGTGAGCCTTTCTCTCTTTTTTCTCATTGTCATCAAAACAAAAATCATAAAAATGCCTGCTATTACTGTTCCCTCCGAATACGGTTACGTAAGTATTTTCATCCAATTTCTAAGGGAGCCACGGTTAATTTTTTTTTTTAGGTTCTCGCTGTCGCTGTCGCCAGTGCTCTTTACACTCTTAGTTTAGCTATGAAGGTCGGTGGTGCTCGTAGAGCTGCCAAGGTCCCCTATCCTTATAGTAAGTCTTTAATGCAAAAGGGTTTTTTGAGGTATATTTTTTTGACTTATTTGGGTAAATTTTATTAGTGTATGCTGAAAAGGAAGAAGCTGAAAAGGATCCCAAGAAGAACGTTTTCAACTGTACTCAACGTGCTCATCAAAATACCCTTGAAATCCTTCCCATCTACAACACTTTGTTGTTAGTTGGTGGTATTAAATATCCTGAAGTCTCTGCCGCTGCTGGTGTTCTCTTCATCTTGGGTCGTATTGTCTTTGTCAGTGGTTATTCTACTGGTAACCCCGCCAAGCGTACTCGTGGTGCTTTCGGTATGCTTGGTCTCGTTACTCTTCTCGGTACTGCCTCTGCTACCATCTATAACCTCCTCAAGTAAAGGAAAAAACTAGAAAAAAAAAAAAAAAAAAAAAAAAAAAGACGGGTCGCTTTAAGATGAAAAGGTTCAATCCTTTTGTTTAGCAAATTGTATAAATAAATGAACAGCTTTTTTCCCATATATTTCTATTGTTTCACAAAAATTAATCAAAAATGCCATTTTGTGTGTGACTTGAAAGATCCTTTGTGTCTCCCTTCAATGAGTAAGATTACCTCAAAATGAAAATTATTACGTGTTTTACGAGATAATGTGTTACACGGTTCACTGGTGACACTATCCAGATGAACAAAAAGTTGATCTATCCTACCTTTTGATTTCAATTCGAATAATCCATACTGACCTTATCCGCTTATTTGGTTTATCCAGAATTATAGTTTATTTAGTTTAGATCCATTACGTATGTAATTTAACTACTGGATCCATTCATCAATTCATTTTGTCTAACATCCATCCTAAAGTCTCGTATCTAGTGACTGTAATCTATAAAAAGGTGATATACGCTTCCTGTTATTTATGCAGCCCCGGCCGCCAATCCCAATCCATCTCTTCGTTGATCCTGCCATCCTATTGCCATTGCAGTACATCCTTTTGGCCATCTAACATTGGTACCATAAAGCGATTCAATTTCATGCATAAATTCATCAAAATAATTCCATTTTTTGATCGCCTTTTGCGCCTTTTCAAATCCACCGTCGGGCCAAATCATTTTCGAATGATCTTTATGCATCATAAAGACTTCACGTAATATCATGAACCGGAACTTTTCCGCATTCAAATGTAGCGCATGCGCTTGTTTATCTCCACCTTGGTTTTTAAACCGGGCATCATACAGGGGTGCAGATCGATGCAAGATATAATAGGGCTCCCATTGAGATTCAAAGCAAACTTCATAAGCAAGCGGGTTGCCTAATAATAAAGGTCGAACCATGGCAATCTCTGTAGCTAATGTAGGTCCATGTCCAGCTCCCGGATCTGTAATATAGGCAATATCACGTCCCACCAATTTCCTCAGTTCGTCATAAGAATCAGGTAAAGGTATTTGATCATACCCTTCGCGCAAAGCAAAGCAAGGTACAACCCACGCCGTATCGGGTATCTTCCCAGATTGATATGCGATAAAAGGAAGAAGTTTGTTGCGGAGATATCCATATAAATTAATCGAAGGTGAGAAATCGGCATCCAAGACAAAGATATACTCTGTGGATGATTCTGTAATAGCTATATTTCGAAGATGGTTGATAGGATAAGCAAGATGTGCGTTACTGAGATAATTCGGTTTGACAAGTGCTAATGTGACTCCAGCATAAGCCTCTAAATTCTTTTGAACACTAAAGAATTCCACAAGTTCCTCAATATCTGCTGCATTGGTGAGATAACTAATTTTTAGACGTGTCAGTGATCTATATACCGCACATAGAGGCGACCCCTTTTTGTTTACTTACATGGCAGCGGTAATAGGGCCACTCCAAGATTTGATAGCTTTTGCAAATGTTTCTAATCGATTGACTGAAAATTGACTGATCAAGGTAACATCCATCGTATCCAAAATTTCCCCTGCATGCTGTACAAGAATTATTTCTTGACTTTGACTGGATTTATCTAATCCTTTTTTTGTTAAATCATAATTTTAGTAAACTCTATAATATAAATACCTTTCATCAAGTTTTTCATTTGCGTGGCCATAATCAAGATATCAGCTTTAATGAAAAATAATTTTTAGTAGATGCGCGTTTAAAATATTAAAAAAAAATCGAACCTTTCAAATCCAACTCTACAAAGTTGCGACACTTTGTGCCATAACCCGTTTCTGTACATTCTGTCAATCCGTTGGGAATAGTCAACCATTCACCTCCATCGACTCGTCCTTCAACCTTGATGCGTAAATCGCAACCTGTACTCACGTTAATGGTGGATAAATCACGAAATACGCCTGCTTTTGATAAATCGGACCAATTGTACCTTTGGTTGGGTAACCAAGTAGAGCATTTGTTTAAAGGATTACATAATTCAACTGAACAACTCGATGCATGTTTTTCGTACGTGGGTTGTTCTCTTAATTGTATTCTATTGGATTTTTTAGATGAACCACCGGAAGGAAAGAGCATAAAAAATAAAAAGACAATGGCGATTAAAGGAATGATGCCTTTGGCGGGTGATAATAATCTTCTTTGCCATGCGTTTGTGGGAGGCGAAGATGAAAAACGTTTATAATGTCGTCTCGAGTTATTGTAAAAGGGCTTATTTTTATCATTGTCCAAGTTGCTATTCTGACTTGTCGCTTTTCTACCCAAAAGCTTGTCCATTATTTAAAAAGGAGGACGAGAGAGCTTTTTTTTCTATGGTTAAAAAAGGAAACTTGCTAAAAACCAAAAAAAAAAAAAAAAAACTCGGTAAATTCATAATTTCGCACCAAGAATTGGGATCACTTTCAAAAATAATACCCTAATTCACTGATCTTTTTAGTATTATGTAGACTAAAATGAGAAGATTAAGAAAAAACTTCATGATTATGATTGTTTTAATATGCTTTTTTATTTTTATACAGTTATTTTCTCTTTTTATAAAAGAGTAAGGGGGTGATATTTTGTGTTAAAAGGATCTAATATTTTTTTTTTTTTACTATACAAACTTAGTTCTTTCCAGCGTTTTCAGGTCTGAGTTGACGAACAGTTTTACCAGTTCTCCAGATCTCAGATTCACGGATTTCAGCAAGTTCAGCCTCGAGCTTCTCACGGTAATCAGGCTCAGAGTTACGTTGAAGAGAACGAGCAGTTTCTGTACCATCACGAACAGACTTGTAGAGATCTTCAAAGACAGGCTTAGAGGCATCATGGAAAGGCTTCCACCAATCAAGAGCACCACGCATAGCAGTAGTAGAACAGTTAGAGTACATCCAATCCATACCACGCTCACCAATCAAGGGGTAAAGAGATTGAGTGGCTTCTTCAACAGTCTCGTTGAAAGCTTCAGAGGGAGAATGACCATTGGCTCTCAAAACTTCATATTGAGCTTGGAATAAACCTTGAATGGCACCCATCAAGACACCACGCTCACCGAACAAATCAGAGTAGACTTCCTTCTCGAAAGTGGTCTCGTACATGTAACCAGATCCGATTCCGATACCCAAAGCAATGGTACGCTCCTTGGCATGACCACTAGCATCTTGGTGAACAGCAAAAGAAGAGTTAATACCACGACCTTCTTGGAAGAGACGACGGACAGTGAAACCGGAACCCTTGGGGGCAACGAGAATAACATCAACACCTAATTTTTTTTTTGTGATAGTTTCTTTTAGTATACTACACAAACACGCACACGCACACACACTTAAAAAATATTACCTTCAGGTGCTTCGATGTTGGTTTGATCCTTGTAAACAATGGAGAAACCATGAGAGAAATAAAGAGTCTTACCAGGAGTTAAGAGAGGCTTCATTTGAGGCCAGATTTCCTTTTGATAGGCATCGGACAAGAGGTTCATGACAACGGTACCCTTATCAACGGCATCAAGAACAGGGAACAAGTTCTTACCGGGAACCCAACCTTCTTCAATAGCTTGTTGATAGGTTTTACCTTCACGTTGACCGATAATAACATTGACACCGTTATCACGCAAGTTGAGGGCTTGACCACGACCTTGAGGACCGTAACCAAGGACAGCAATGGTATCGTTCTTGAAGGTATCGAGCAACTTTTCCTTGGGAACATCAGAACGTTCATAGACAGTTTCTTCGGATCCACCAAAGTTTAATGTCTTCATGCTACGTGTTTGGGTGGCAATCTATCAATTGACAAAGAGTTTATTAAAAAAAAAAAAATTCATGTCGCGTTATTTTTATTGGATTATTGTAACTTACGGTAGACTTGACAGCTGTGCGTCTCATAGTGTTAGCCAAGACAGACATAGGTCTGATGGCAACAGTAGGACGGGAAACAGTAGCGCGTGCAGCGGCACGGATAGCAGTAGAAAAAGCACGAGAAGCCATGATTTTTTTTTGAAAAAATATAAGAGTTATAAAAAGTCGGAAAAGACGAGAATATTACGGTATTCATTTATAGTAGAATCGGAGAGAAAAATCAAACGAGATAATCGTCCAATCAAAAGCCAAAAGATAAGAAATCTTTGATCAATGCATTTAGTGCCCAAGTTCTTCTCTGATTGGTGTGAGTCATTACTTGTACAGATTTGTGTTATTTGTATACATCTTTTTTTTTATTATTTATTGAAAGTGCAAGTGTCATTTGACGCCATTTTTGATTAGTGCTCCATCCTTAATAAAACAGTGAATGTTTTGTAATTTGATAGATTTATTACGCTTTTTTATCTCCCTTATTATCACTGCGAAAAAAAAAAAAAAATAGTGGTCTGTCTTCCAATTTCCAGTTTGTGCTATCCAATATACGTTATGCAAAAAAAAAGAAGAGAGCCTACACCTCATAGGTTTTCATCTCAATGTTACTGGCTTGAAATGACATGACTCAGATAAACACAATTTTTTTTTTTTGCTAGCAATTTTTTTTTTTTTTATGATTAGCAGAGTGCCACTGAGAACACTTGTTATAATCCAACTGACGCATGCCATGTCATTCTTGTTTTGAGTTTTTTTTTTTTTTCTGTTTTCTTAAAAACTATTAAGAACCTTTTTTTTTTTTTTTAGTTTGCTATGCTGTGGAACGTTCAATTTCTAAATCAAGCCGTAGTCTCAGTGACATATCTTTCTCGTTACTAGCATAATCAGTGTATCAGCCAATCAATTGGGTATGATCGTCTCTTATTCTACAGAGTCATTCTCTATCGAATAGAACAAATGAATGCGATACAATAACTTAATTGGTTCTAAGTTTCCTTTTTAACAAGACATATCGAATCAAAATGCTGTAGATTGGGATTTTTTCTATGACAACGCAGATTAGCATATTTTTATGTAACGGGGAGCCATCTATAATTACCCATTTGTCAGAAACAAACAAATTTTATCTTTGATGTCATACCATTGTTAAAGGTCTATCTAGCTTCTTTGTTATTTGTGCTGAATTTTAAAATTTTATGAAAAAAGTTGACCCTACCAAAAAAAACCCAAAAGTTTTTTCCCCAAAACAACTATTTTTTAAAAAAATAAAATAAAAAATGGCAAAGAAGGGAAGTAACGATAAGAAAGAAGCTGGTAATGCCAAGAAGGCTGCATCCAAGGCCGAGAAAGATAACAAGAAGGCTGCTGCCTCTGAAGCTGCCGAGTCTGAGAAATGGGCTCAAGGTGCAAAGGGAAAGAACAACAAGAAGGAAGATGCCGAAGCCAAGAAGGTAAGTCCCATTGGGTGATTTAAATTCCCTTCCTTCCGAGAGAGAGAGAGAGAGAAAAAAAAAACTCATTACTTTATTGATCTTTAGGCTGCTCTTGCTGAAAAGAAGGCCGAAGCCGCTAGACTCTTGGTAAATATACCGTCATTTACAGAGAAAAAAAACACGCACACATTAAACTCTTTTTTTTTAAAAAATTAGGCTGAAGAAGAGAAGCAATTCAAGTCAAAGCCTACATTAAAGGGTGTCGATGTAAGTACCGGGAGAGAAAAGAGAAGTAAAACTAGGAAACTGACTTTGTTCCTATAGAAAAAAGCTGCACAAAAGTCTGCCAAGCACGAAGCTGTTGGTCAAACCAAGCGTGTCATTCCTGAATTCTCAGCTACAGGTATCGATGATGCACTTGATCTTTTGTCTATTGATGATACAGGATCCAAAGCCAAGGATGTTGAGAAGCATCCTGAACGTCGTTTCAAGGGTGCTTTGGCTGCCTTTGAAGAACGTGAATTACCCAACTTTAAGAAGGATTATCCCGGTTTGCGTTTGAGTCAACTTAAGGATTTGATTTATAAGGCTTTCCAAAAGTCACCCGAGAATCCTTTCAACCAATCCAACATTGTTCAATACAACGCTACTCAAGAAGAAGCTGAAGCAATGAAGTGTAAGTCTATCTCTGTAATTAGATTTTTTTTTTCTCTAACTTTTTTTTTATATATATATCTGTAGCCAACAAGAAGAAGGCTATTGAAGAACGTCTTCGTACAAACTAAATACAAGTATATTGAAATAAATTCTTTATTATAATCTATAGAAGGTGAATGGGTGGGTGGGTGGGTGTAATTATTGAACACGAGAAACGACTTCTCTGAATCCCTTGATTTTAGCACATTCATGCTTTAAGTTTGTAGAGATGGGAGTATCCCACAATCCAGCAGAAATCATTAAACGAGAATAACGAAGACATACTTCTTCTCTAAAGTAATCGTAAAGCTTCTTGTTGTATTTACGCTAAATAAGAAAAAAAAAAAAAAAAAAAATTAAAATTAAAAATATTTTAAATAACCGGCCATGATTTCACTTACCTCTTTTGCTCTAGTATCTTCCAGGTAATGATGTGTTTGATGGATTAAAAAGTCATTAGGAAGAACCCAATAATCAATGCCTGCTAAATAGATTTCATAAAGACATGCAGCCTTATTAGCACCATAGCCAATGAAACGTTCATCACACCAAGGAGTTCCCTCTTTTTTATAGATGACATAGGGCTCATACGAATAATTATAATCCGTGACCTTATAATGTTGTGAGGACTGATACCATTTCTTATAGTTAGTCGATCCATGGCCTCGTGTCCAACCCAAATGAAACATGTCGATCTTTTCAGTCAAAACGATATTCATGAGAGCCTCTTTATCCTTTGGAAATACTGTCCAATCTTCGCCGTCTTCTTCAGTGATATATTCAAACGCAGGTACAACAACCGCACCTCTTCCCGTACGGAGTATATCCATTAATTCGTCATTCTTTCTTAATGATTCTCTAAAATCCGTACACAGATAAAAATCCACATCCAGCATCATCAAGAAATCAGATCGCACAAAGAATTTGGCAACGTTACGCCACATATTAAATTGTCTATCGAATTTATCCACAACTAAATGAATATCTACATAACGTCCCATATCTGGATTACTCTTGTACATGGCATGCAAATCCGTCAAAATCTCATCCTTTGTGTTGTCATCGTTAACGTGGATAGCAACCGAAATAGGTCCTTTATATTTGGTGGCTAATCGACTCAAAACAGGGAATCGGTTATGTGTTACTAAGGTGGCAATCGTCACATCTTCTTGATCAAAAATTTCAGAAGCTCGAAAGTAATAAGGAATCACTTTGGAAGGTCCCATAGCATCTGAGAACACTTTGCTTAAAACAAGGTCTTCTGGAATTGAATGATTTTGTCCGCCTACACTTTGGAAGGTTATTTAAACATTCTCTCTCTTTCCCCCCCCCCTCCCCCGCGCACGTTACCTTCTGCGTTAGTCCATGTTACTTTCTGTGGTGTCAAATACTTTTGTTGAAGTGAAGGTACACTGACAGTTTCCGATCTCGGTAAACTAGATTGTAGTCCGTTGGTGGATGAGCTTATGGAAGAAGTCTGGAACCAGCCGAAACCGAGCAAGTGAATGGTGGCATAAAATAAGGAACCTGCTAAATAAATACTGAAAAACAGTTTCAATACTTTGAATATCGTCAGTGATTCCTTCATCACAATGAGTATATATAACAAACAAAAAAATAAAAATTAAAAAAATACAAGAACTACAAAAAAGGACCTCTTGCTTTTTTTTGGGCCACATTAAACCATTCAAACTCAATAAGAAGAGACGGCTCCTTTCCATTGGTAGAGCGGTTGAACTTTAAATTGTAATTATTATTTCCAATTTACTTCTTTTCCACCCCCTTGCAGAGCATGTTTCTAGAGGGAAAAGAAGGAAGAGTGTCTGTTCTCTATTCCCAACTTGACCTCAAAAAGGAGTTATTCGACCTATTTAGAAAGCAAAACTTTAGTTGTAATACATCATGCATGCTATTAAGAAAAAAAGTCTGTGTGTTATCCCAAACATTAAATTAAGGAGAAACCTTCACCCCGTTTTAAAACTCCCTCTGACACTCTTTTATTTGATAAATTCTATTTTTAAAAGAATTATACGGTGTATCCGCCTATATTTTAGGAACATCATCCCCTTCTCCTTGGTTTTATTTCTTTTCTTTAAAAAAAAGCATGTATATCTTGAATGAAGTATATCTTGAATGCAGTACGTCTTATGTAAAAGTACCGGTTGCACAAACGTACGCATATTTATTAAAATAATTTACATCGCACTTTACAAATTTACGCAAAATAAATGAAGGATCAGCGTTGCAAAAAAAAAAAAAAAAAAAAATGGCAGAAGCAGATAGAATATGCTTGTATATACATGGGGATAATTGAATAAAAAAAAAGAATAAGATGACTTAACATAACTCTAACGGGGACGTAATTAAAATGAAATATGAGTTTAGTAAATTCACCAGGTTGGTGGGCTCTCCTATTATGGGTGGCACTATCGACACATGTCGTAACATAAATGTATGTTTAGTAGACAGTGCTGAAATATCTGGCTGGAGATAAAAGTGATCAAACGCTTATTAGTAAAGGGCTTGGCCAATTGATGTCGGGCGGTTGATTTCACACTTCCTAGATTGAGTAATATGTACCCATATATTAATCATAACCGATTTTGATGATGTCTTGATTAGAAGGAATGGAATTTAGATCATTTTTATCACAATTTTCATGTATGCGGCTGATACGATTTAAGTTGAGTTGAAGGGTATAAGCACAAGTACACCGTCAAAGAATTAGAGTAACGAAGACCCTTTCAAGTTACAATTCACAAACAAAAATGACACCTGGCTGACAGGTAAAATAAATCATCGAAGATACGTAAATAATTAAGCTGTTTAAAGAAAAGAGTAGTAGAACATGTCGTTATACACAACGACTTTGACAGCATCGACAACATCTACATCAAATATAAAACATTCGTTGCTTAAACCATCTTCATATACATTTGTATGTTTATAAGAATAATTACTAAAGGCCTTTTTTCGTTTATGGCTAAAGAAGCAGGTTTATGGGAATACAAGTGAAAGAAGTGTTCCAGTAGCTCAAACATAAACCATCAGTAGTTCATGTAGACAAAGATTGAATCCGACTGTCACAAGCTGATACGAACTCCAATATCATGGACAAACACGAATTCCAACACCAAGGGCACCGTCCGAACACACCAAATATTTACCAGATGCTGAAGGGAGGGAGGGGGGGGGTGAAAAAAAAAGCAGAAGAAGAACAAAAAAGCTACAAGTGATGCTGGGACGAAATACAAGGCTAAGTGCAGAAGAAAGGTAGTTAGTCTTACCATAAATCCTATAAGACCCCGGCCTTTCATTCTAAACCTGTAACAATTAACCAGAAAGGTAGCAGGTACAATATTAGGGAGGTCCCAAAGCAGTAGGAGTGGACTGCCCATCAGGTTTTTACGCCATCGACATTAGCTCCCCAACAATAATGTTAACGAGAAATTAAACAGCACGGTGACCAATGAATGGAGTGCCACAATCTGTCATAACATATACTATGCTCCCATTTTGACCATTCAATCTGCAAAGCACGTATGAGTATCAGGTTTGCATGAAAAATTGCTGCGCTTCAATTTGATTGGCTCAGACAGTGTCTACGTCAGCCGGAGCTCTAAACGGTTATTTATAGCAAACCCTGGCTTTTTTTTTTCTTTTTCTTTAGCGATCCTGGGGCTCTCTTCTGTAATGAAATGTCGTTGATGGGAATACGTTGCACCCGTAGGAGGTTGTAATTTATTTTGATGTATAGTACGGCAATCGTTCTCCAACCTCACATACACGACTTGTGGGATATAGGACTAGTAGGTGCTACGGCATAACGTACAAGTTGTCAATAAGGCCCACGAACATCCGACAAGCTTTAAGTCAGTGACCAGACCCATCTTAAGGGAGAAAGTAGTTATGTTGGCCCTGGCTATTCTTCTCCTGGGGTAGGGTTCCTTTGGCGGCCTCTTTCATTACTTACAGTTAGCATTGGGTGGATACTGTACATTAGACTTGTCTTTTGTACCAAAAGGTTTTGCACGCACCTTTTTCTCACATTTTTTTGGGGCCAGATATGCTTCCACCTTCTCGTGGTTGGTCCTGTTAATCAATATGGTATTCATAATAGCTATATTGAGAACTAAGAGAAGCATTTTTCTTTTTGTTTTCTTGTTTTAATTTAAATAAATGCTTCTAATGTACTTAAACTTTTGTCCTTGTCTTTGTCTTTCTAATGTGTTGAGTTTTCTGTAATGAAAAAAAAAAAATGCCATGGCGAATTCTTCTAGCACTTTGTTTTATAAGGAGCTTTGGTAGTGTGCAAGCAAAAACACAAAGCTAATAAAAGTCTAGTAGTAGTCTCTGAAAAGAGAATACAGTTGCTCATTAGTTAAATCAGGACAATGTGAAAAACAGAATGCGAATGAAGTATTTGAAAGAATGTTAAAATAATGTGCTTTAAAGTATCACTCCACGTCTTTTATAAAGTTAAATATTATGGTAATTGGCGTTTGGTAGTGTGTGTTAGAATAAAGTGGAGCGGGAGCATATAGGTAGTCTTTACAGAACGATACTTTATAAATGCCGGCTTTTTTTTAGTAAACGTCAAACAAGGTCTGTTAATATCTTGATTCTAAAAGAACAATTTCCAAGTTTTTATCTCTTTAGAACAATCTCCTTTTTTAAATTTAAAGAGAATGTTGTTATTGCTATTGTGGTTTATACAAGTTTTATATCGATATCCAATGAGTCATTCATAGCGCTAAAGCCTGCATCAATGTTACAACGGGAAACATCAGAGTTCTAAGTGGAAATGAGACTATGTATTTGCTTTCATGCATAATCGTATGTAAAGGTATTCATATTTTCCATAGCTCTCTCCAAAATATATTAGACACTAAATCCCATCTATTCATTTAGCTTCGTGATTATTCTACATGTTCTCTAAATTATCCGCACACCATTTAATTATTAGTAGAAATTCGGTATTTAGGTTAATAGCGCACTGAAACCATAAAAATCGGCCCAGATGACAGAACAAGAAACACTCTTTATTTGTCCTCCATCACCATTTTGTGATTAATCTCAATAAAATCCCCCGCCCTCACTCTTCTAAACAGTACACAGATCAAAAACAACAAGGCATAACCATGACATTTTTAATTGATCTTGTGCTTGGTAGCAGTAAAACTTAATGTTTTAACTGGTAACCAAAATGTTGAACAAAAGAATAGTTATTCTAAATAACAAATGGTATTATCTTGTGTGATAGATACGAGTGTATTTGACAAGAAGATAGAGTTGACATCTGTTCCAAACATTTTTTTTTGTACCGACCTCATTTCGATTTTCTTACCAATCATTTTTTTGCAGGAGAATGCTGATAATCCTTATTTACCAAGTATGGGATGTGGGGCTTTTCTTTTTTTTTTTTTTTCTTTTTTTTTCGCAATCATCTGAGTAACCTTTAGAGAGGTAACGTAAGGCAAAAGTTACATGTGTGTATTCCAATATAATCCGATCTACGAGAAGGTAATACATTTAGCCAACTTTTTTTTTTGATGTCAATGAAAAAAAAAAAAGTGGGGAAGGTTACCATGTATTTTTTTTTACACTGTGTATTCTCTTTCTTTTTATAATTAAAATTACAAATAAACGTGTAAGATAAATTTTACACTATAAAAACAAGTTTTTTTCTTCATTTGATTCTCTACTGTTGTTACTGTACCATACCCACGCCTCCCACCCCCACATGTTTTCGGGATTTGTAAGTCTTTTATCACAGGATCTGTTTTTTTCAAAGAGATAAAACACGACCCAAATAATAATTTATGAAACACTACTGTTCTTCTCAATTTATAACAATGAAACATTGTTTTTTTTTAAAAATAAACAATGACATATGGATGCAGAACAAGAACGAAGGTTTTTTTTTTTGTATCTGTGCAAATGACGTAAAACCTAAAAATATAAGCTTTGTCATGCTTTCCATTATTATCACAAGCCAAAAGAAAGGGGGTGGTTTATGTCTTGTAGTCCGGACGTTTCCGATAGCAACCTGTTGTCCCTATTCATTTCTCACACACACACAATTTATATATTGGGGAATCTAATATGAGCTATGTATAAATTGGTCAAATTTACATTATGAAAAAAAGAAAAGTTTGGGTCATTGGGAATGCTTTTTTTCGGGAATAAATAAAAAAAAAAAACGCCCTAAGGAGGAGGGGAAGGACCGATAGTTCAAGTAGTTTTGCTATTGGTTCATTGCTTTATTTTTTTATATAAAATATATATCGGAGAGAGAGAGAGAGAGAGAGGAAGAGATGGAACAAAAATACACGCATAAAAGGGGGAGGAAAGGGGGGGGGGTAAAATGGGTAACTTGTTGATTTACAACTTAGATTGAGGGCTGATGGTAATAATATCATCATAGAGTAAATCAGGAAGGAAATCATCGTAACGTTCACCAGTGACGTTAGTAGCAAAGGCCTTCTTGGCAGCTTCATACTTGGAAGCAGCATACTTTGCACCGAGACTCTTGCTAATCTTGTCAGTCTCTTCATCCAAGATTTGAGAGACGTAGGCAGCGTTAACAACCTTACCCTTATCAGTACGAACATTGTGACGAACCCATTGGTAGAGTTGAGATCTGGAGATTTCATAGGTAGCCAAATCCTCCATCAAGTTGAAGATGGGGACACAACCAACACCTCTTAACCAAGCTTCCATATAAGCCAAACCAATTTGGATGTTCTCACGAATGGACTCTTCAGTGATGGTTCCCTTGAAATTAATATCGATCAAATCAGTAGCAGTGACCTTGACATCATCACGGCGGATGTGCATTTGATTGGCTTGGGGCATATGTTCATTAAAGATATCAAGTGCAATCTTCACAAGATCGGGATGGGCAACCCAGGTACCGTCATGACCAGCAGTGACTTCACGGAGCTTATCGTTACGGACCTTGGCCATAGCAACATCGTTGGCTTGAGGATCGTTCTTGATGGGGATTTGAGCAGCCATACCACCCATGGCATGAACACCACGCTTATGACAGGTTTGGATCAACAAACGAACATAGGCATCCATGAAGAGAACAGACATGGTGACGGATGAACGTTGAGGCAAGACAAATTGAGGATGGTTACGAAGCTTCTTGATGAAGGAGAAAATGTAATCCCATCTTCCACAGTTCAAACCGGCAGAGTGATCACGAAGTTCATAAATAATTTCGTCCATCTCATAAGCAGCCAAAAGGGTTTCAATCAAGACGGTACCACGGATAGTACCACGGGGAATGTTGATCATGTCTTGAGCAACATTGAAGATATCGTTCCAAAGTCTGCAAATAAAATGAAATGTTACCTTGTTAGTCATCTTCTTTATCAAGCCTCATTCTTTTTTCTTACCTGGCTTCTAAGTGAGACTCCATCTTGGGCAAGTAGAAGTAAGGTCCCTTACCACGCTTGATAAGTTCCTTGGCATTGTGGAAGAAGTAAAGAGAGAAATCAAAAATAGAAGCAGAACAAGGCTCACCGTCAATGAGAACATGCTTCTCAACCATGTGCCAACCTCTAGGTCTATAAAAGTCGTTGTATTAGCAACCAATAAAAAAAAAAGGTTTACATCTCTATCTCTCTCTCTCTCTCTCTCTCTTTCTCTCTTCATATATCTTTTTTTTTTCCTCATTCCCATATCATTTTTTCACGTGAAAATTATGCATAAAAAAAAAAGATTTCTTACCTAACAAGAAGAGTAGCAAGCTTGCCGTCCTTACGAAGTTCATACTTCTTTCCGTTAGGGTTAACAAATGAAATGGTTTCACGAATAGCATCACGCATGTTGAGTTGACCACTGATCACATTATCCCAAGTAGGAGCAGTAGAATCTATATATACATCAAAAAAGGAGGGGAGGAAATATTAGTTACAAGGTGCCTCTTGGGTGTTTTATATGTGATATTTCTTACCTTCGAAATCAGCCATGAAGGTATAGGCACCAGAGTTCAATGCGTTGATGACCATTTTACGATCGACAGGACCGGTGATTTCGACACGACGGTCTTGAAGACCAGGAGCAGGAGGGGCGGCACGCCAGTTAGGATCATTACGAATGAAAGCGGTCTCGGGCAAGAAATCGGGTAAGACACCACGATCCAACTCTTGTTGACGCAAGTTACGCTTTTGTAATAAAGTCTTACGGGTAGGGTTGAAGATACGGTGAAGAGTTGCAACGAATTGTAAAGCTTGAGGAGAAAGAATCTCGGCTTCTCCGGCAGTGACAGGTGCTAATACAGCAACACCGGGAACGGTGGATTTGAAAAGTTTCTTTGCAGCTTGAGATACGACAGACATGTTGTGAATTAAGAGAAAAAAGAAGAAGAAAACAAAAAAAAAAAAGGGAATGTTTCAAGGTAATTTATACCCTCTATTTATACTACCAGTAGAATCTTATATGCAACAAAAAAAAAAAAAACTCCATCTTTTGCGGTGACTGCTACTCCACTGAGTCAACCATGTTTTTTTTGGTATCACATGCTACTTTCTCCATATTCACATGGCTTCTTACCGACAAGACACGATAATATCCTATAAACGCTTTCTTTTTTTCACAGGCTTTCGTTTATTCTCTATTTTTTATTATAAGCCTTACGAATTAGAACAATTTTCAAAAATAAAATAAAAAATTAAAGTTCCATCTATCTTGTTTGTGTACCCTCATCTTATTTTGTTTATCTCTCTCTCTCTCTCTCTTAATGACGTACAAAGAGTATATCTTCAAGTTCATCTCTGGTATAAAAAAAGAAGGGATGAGAGGGGTATAAACCGAAATCATTCGATCTCCGGTTCATGGCGACCTTTTTTTTTTTTTTACATTAAAAAAGCTTGGGAAAAAACCGGCTAAAGAAATTGGAGTGTTTTTTTTATGCATTTATCATTTGTAATATTAATTTGCCAACAAAAAAAAGTTAATTATAAAAGTCTGCATTTACTTCTATAAAAATCAAAAAAAGGGGAATTCATCCTTAAAGAGTTGGCATGTACTTAGCATACATCATGTCTTTTACGGTTACATTTGAAAAAAAAAATCATTTTATTTATTTTACCCACGACTCTCTTAATGTAAGAATTCTTGATCCAACCAAGGGAAAATGGGCCATGAAAAAAAGCGGGGTAATTCGATAACAATGTTTGTGACACGAGCCCCAGACATTTGACAAAACATGAACAGTGGCTCTATTCGTTTATTTCTTTTAGCTTTTCCAGAGTTTATTTTTCCGCGTCAAGCTCCATTTATACAATGACCAGTCAAAGCTTATGTTTGCCAAATACTCCCATTTTCACATCAGCATTTTTGTGTTGCTTATCGGTTGCCATCTTCGGAGTAGCCTCTCAAGGTCCAAGTCTTATGAGCCAAAAGTTATACAAAGGATATTCTGCTGTCCTTTGTTTCTTTTTCGTAAAGTGTATGTAAATTTTGGGACAACGCAACCAGACCTGCCAAAATAAAACGAAAGCGTGGCAACCACAATATGGGATATTAAATAACCACGAAAAAGCCAAATAGGTTACACGATATTTCAAATCTAAAAAAAACAATGATCACGTGAGTGCCAAAGAAAATTACGAACGCATCCCAAAGTTAATGCCTATTAGCGTAATATCTCCTTATGAACCACTGCTTGAATCAGCATCGTTATCATGTAAATGAGGTTTATATGTATCTAAAGGTCTGGATTAATTCAAAGTATGAGATATTTTTTTTTGTAGCAGTTTCCTTTGAATAAAAGGTGTAAAGATAAAGAAGTTTTATTGTCATGACATAAGCTCGCACACTTGTTTAATCATTTTGGTTTTACATAAAATCCGTTTTTTTTTTTAATGCTTATTACCTACTTGTTCACATGATGCTAACATAAACACTCACACCTGTGCAGATATTCCCGAAAGTTTTAAACTTAATCGTAAATGTTGTTACGATTTAACCAAGGAGTAATATGTCATTTATAATGACAGAAGAAGCAATAAGGACATTACTGCTAACTAATAAGAAAAAAAATTACGTATAAAAAAATAATTACAACAGCCTTAGGCGAGATTTTATAAATTTTGAGAGTAATAATTGTCAATCATTTAGTTTTTGACCAGTATTTCCAAGCAACTGGTACTTTTGTGAGAACTCCGAAAGCAACTGCAGGAAATATACGACCAAAAGAATGATAATAGTTTTCTGAGTTGTACTCAAATCATTAGCTGGAAAAAGAAGAGAGTAAATACCAAAGTTCTCCGTAATAAACCTATTATGCACCTGCTTATAAAGCCAACTACTTTGTAAATGTATATAATCACTTTTTGATTTAATGTTGTAACCAACGATTTTTAGTGTCATAAACATTTTTGAATTATTGATAATAATAGCCATTAGTTTTAATAGATGTGATCAAGACCAATTTGCACGGCTTTCGGTTCTGTAATAAGTAACAATGAAGAAAGTAAAAATCTACAGGGACATGTTTTATTACATAGACATCCATACAAGAATACGGTGATGAGTAAGCAAATAAGTATATGTATTTATCATTTACTGGCTTATAAACATGTGGCTATGAACATGCTTGTCAAATTTATATTTTAGTCTTATTTGTAAAGTTAGTACAAGACAGGTGGCAACAGGATGTAAAATAGTTTTTTTTTTATCATTCATCAGACACATGTGTGAAAACTTTACTAAAATATGTCAAACATTATAATGCTAAATGACGAACTTGAAGCAAACTCTAGATAATGCACATACTAAAAATTGATCAACAATAAGACAGTGCCACTATTTGATAATATCTGGAAAAGGAGAATTTTTTTGTTGTAGTTTCTACGTAATCATGCATATTTTGCATTTTTGATTATAGATCTTTAGACTTGATTGTTATCATTCACAGTGCAATTGTCCACACATGACACACTCACGCATGCGCAGACATTATAGCCCACGCAATAAAAAAAAGCTTATCTGGTTTTTACTCCGCGGATAAGCCATAAATTTCCGTTCAGGACTGTGTTTCCTCGTTGAAGGCTTAGCTGTCTATTCAACATAAATTGACAGCTGAAAAAAAAAAGTTTTTCTTTCTTACACAAGGTTTGTTGTATCTAAAATTTTTTTTATTGTTTAAAACTCTCAATAAAAAGAAAAGGATTATATACCACATATTTTTTTTTTTTTTACACATGGTTGGTGATTTTTTATACAATGTTTGATTTTTTACGCAAGTTCATTCGCAAAAAACACGTCAATGCTCTACATAGCATTTGGGGTGTGCCGCTTATGTAGCGCTTGCAATATTAAGGCCTTTCGGGGCTATGACCATCGTTTGAGGACTAGTATCCTTTCCATGATACTAGACTATAGGTTGACTGTCAATATTTTATTATTTTAAAAAAACAAATGAAAATGAAAAAAAAAAGTACCCTAAAAAAGTACGTATGAGGATGTGAAACACCTTCACGGAATAAATCATGTGTGTGTGGCTCGTTTTTTTTTTTTACGAAGCATCCACACCCACTGTTTGTCGTGACACTGTTTAATCAGTTTGTTTGTGTATATACGGTTGAATAATAATAGAAATAGATTATTTCTTTTTTTAATCAATTGTCCGTGCGCTAATAGACAGAGGGCGGAATGTTTATCTGACAACAATCACGTCAAACAAACACTTGCAAAAAGCTTATCATCTCTCATCTTTACTGACATTGTATCTTGGAAGGAAAGGGGGGGGGGGCGGACGTTACACCAGTGTTCTTTTAAAAAGATATAGATCAAGATGGGAAAAGATGAATCCTAATAATCAAACTGAGCCAGTAAAGGAATAATAAGAAAAAGATGAGCAAAAAAGTTCTTCATCATGTATTCATCTCTATCATGTTTTGGCTTAGACATTGTAAAGCAGAACAAGATTTGTTTACTTTCTGGCTTGGGTTGGGGGAATTTTTTTTAATTTGAGGCAAGAATTTCGTGATCATAGCATCCAATTATTGGTCAGAACGGACTTTACTTGTGTGTGTGGCGTCATCAATATTTTTATTAAAACCAATTAAAAAAATGAAAAACCCTAGAGTTTTTTTTTATTCTTTTTTTTTTTTATATTCTTTATAAAAAATGGCTGATATCACTACCCGCCAAGTTGGTGCTCTCAACACCCTTGAATACCGTCTCTACTTTGGTAAGTGCTTGTAAAGAGAGTGTGTGTGTGTGTGGTGATTTTTATTATTTATTGGTGCTGACTGTTTCTATTGCAGAGAAGAACGGTGTCCCCGTCTCTCCTTTCCATGATATCCCTCTTTTCGCTAACGCCGAAAAGACCATTCTTAACATGGTTGTTGAGATTCCCCGTTGGTCCAACGCCAAGCTCGAGGTAAAAAAAAATAAATAAATAAAGGATGATATATACTATCTTTATCACACGCGTATATATTTACCTTTCTCCCTCTTCTAATATGTAGATCTCCAAGGAAATTGCCATGAACCCCATTGTCCAAGATACCAAGAAGGGTAAGCTTAGATTCGTTCGTAACTGTTTCCCCCACAAGGGTTATATCTGGAACTATGGTGCCTTCCCTCAAGTAAGTTTTTTTTTAAGGTTTTTTTTTTTTCTGAAAGTGACATTCCACCATAAATATTTACCTTTTTTTTATTTATTTATCAGACTTGGGAAGATCCCACTGTCATCCACCCTGAGACCAAGGCTGTTGGTGATAACGATCCCATCGATGTTATTGAAATCGGTGAACAAGTTGCTTATCCTGGTCAAATCAAGCAAGTCAAGGTCCTTGGTATCATGGCTCTCTTGGATGAAGGTGAAACTGATTGGAAGGTTCTTGCCATCGATATCAACGATCCTTTGGCCTCCAAGTTGAACGGTAAGTTAAAAAAAGGGGGAGCATTCAAAAAGGGAGAGTTTAAAGGGGGTTGTGTAGATGAAAGAGTGCTAATTTTATACATGATGAAATAGATATTGAGGATGTTGAGAAGCATCTTCCTGGTCTCGTTCGTGCTACCAATGAATGGTTCCGTATCTACAAAATCCCTGATGGAAAGCCCGAGAACGTTTTCGCTTTCAGCGGTGAAGCCAAGAACAAGAAGTATGCTACTGATATTGTTCAAGAGACTCATGAAGCCTGGAAGGCTCTTATCTCTGGTGCCTCTGACAAGAAGGATATTGAGACGTAAGCTTAATTTTTTTCTTTCTTTTGTACATCTATCTAACACTGTAAATCATATAGTGTCAACACTGCTGTCGAAGATTCCCCTTACAAGTCTGACTCTGTTGATGTCCCTGCCGTAAGCTAACAGACAAAAAAGATGCACATTCATGTTTTGCTAATTCTTTTATATAAAATTTTTTTAGGCCTCTCCCAAGCCCGATGCTCCCATTGATGCCTCTGTTGACAAGTGGTTCTTCATCTCTGGTCACAACTTGTAAATTCAATACATAACCAAAAAAATAAAAAAATTCAATATCATATACACAATAATGCAGCACAAACATTCTTTAAAACGCGTCACTTTTTATTATTTACACAAGGAGAGAGAGAGAGAGAGAGAGCTTTTTTGTCCCCTTGAAAAAAAGGAACCGCCCCCCCCCCCCCCTCTTTCATGTGTTTATGTGTGAGAGTGAGTGAGAGAGTGAGAGTGAGAGTGTGTGTACAATAAAATTGCATTAATTAAAATATTCTATTCTTCTTTTAAAAAAAAAAGGGTTTTCTTTCACTTTATTTTCTTTTTCTCCGGTCCCTTTTTTTTTTATTATTATTATTATCACCCGCACGATGGGAATATGCACGTCAGCAGAGAACCGAGAAGAGCGAAAAAAGAGTCTGGCAATTGATCGTGAATTAGAGCAAGACCAAAAGAAGCTTCGGCGAGAATGCAAGATACTCTTACTGGGTAAAGTATTGGCTTATCTACAAATGAACCCTTTTTTTCTTTTTCTTTCACATGCTAAATAGATTAAAACGCACAGGAAGCGGAGAATCCGGAAAATCAACCATTGTCAAGCAAATGAAAATCATTCATCAAAACGGTTATTCGCCCGAAGAACTCATCACATGGAAATTCACAATCTTTAAAAATATACTCGAATCAATCCAATCTATTATCTCTGCCGTACATAAATTTGACTATCAATTTGAAACGATCAAAGATCAGGTTCGTCTCCTAAAAATAGTACTTTTATGCTCCCTAGTCTCTTTTTTTTTGCATGAATAATTAAAATCTTTTTGTACTTTATTAGACACTGATAGATCATCTTCTAGCCTATCATATTACAGACCCTTCACTACCTTTTGATACAGACATGGCTCTTTTTATTATTCAAATATGGAATGATCCTATCGTACTCACACTCCTCGATAAACATTCAAATGCATTTTATTTCATGGATTCGGCACCCTAGTAAAGTTTTTTTTTTTCCCTATTTCTTATCTCTTTTTTTCACTTCGAAACATTAAAAAAAAAACCTCAATTTTAGCTTTTTAAACGACATGAAACGAATCACCTTGGATACCACCTATATCCCCACCGTCGCAGATGTCCTGTATGCTCGATCCAAAACAACAGGCATCACAGAAACAAAATTTCAAGCTGGTCCTCAACTCATTATCCAGTACGTTTTTATATTTATTTATACGTTGATATGGTGTTTTTTTTTAACAAGAATAGATTAGCATGTTTGATGTCGGTGGTCAACGTTCCGAACGTAAAAAATGGATTCATTGCTTTGAAGCCGTCACCAGTATCATTTTCTGCGTTGCACTCAGTGAATACGATCAAGTGCTTTTAGAAGAACATAAACAAAATCGCATGATAGAATCCCTCATCGTCTTTGAATCTGTCATCAACAGTCGATGGTTTTTACGCACCTCCATCGTCTTGTTCCTGAATAAAATTGATTTGTTCAGGGCAAAATTACCGCGCGTTCCTCTCAATCGATTCTTTCCCGATTATTCAGGCGCTGACAATCCTGGAAAAGCTGCCAAGTACATCTTGTGGCGCTTCACTCAAACCAATAGAGCAAATCTCAATATATACCCACAGTAAGTTTTTCTGTCTGTACTTCTTCTCAATTTTCAACTTTTTTTTTCTTTCTTCCGTCTAGTGTGACACAGGCCACAGATACACATCAAGTAAGTTCCTTTGTTTATATGTGTGTGTATCTACGAATTAACAAAATTCATTTATAGATCCGTCATGTGTTTGCAGTAATTAAAGAAACCATATTGCAGAATGCGTTAAAGGACTCTGGCATTTTATAAGAATCTATTAATATCATCCCACACAAAGAATGTACAACTAAATACTCCTCCACTTCCCTTCTCATGTTTATTATATACTTATATACTTCATATCCTAAATAGATGAGGGGAAAATCACTCCCCTTCACAACCCATATTATATAATACCTTGATGTGTCAAACATCAAAAAAAAAAAAATATAAATTAGTTTGTTTCAACTACTATTGTTTATTGACGAAGAACGCATTCTATAGTCATGGCTTCTTCATTATTCAATTGATTTTGACAGATCTCGTTAAAATTATTAATGTTGTGAGCATGACAATTTCTAAAGAAGTCAGTTAAATAAGCCTTCATATCTGTTTGATAGATAGGATCGTTCTTCAAATCCGGGTTATCCTCTTCATCATCATTTTCATCCAATTGACCCAACATATCCGATAACAAGTTAATATTATTACGACTCGAGAACAAATCGCTGTCTTCCACATCCTCCCAATCACCACCTTCCTCTTCATCTCCACTTTCAGCATCCTCCACCAAGGGGTTTCCTTCCGTCAAGAAGGCGTTGGATAAATCACTCACCAACAATTTGATGATCTTACTGTTCAAGGAAATCGCCGTATATTGATCCGGGTTACGTTTCGCTCTGGATCGCGTCACAATGCCTGCATTGGGATTCACAATAATTTCTCCCTTCACCGTGATATTCGCCAAACGTGGGTCATTGGACAAGTAAATCTTGGATAACGCAATCGCGCTCACCTTCATCGTATAGTATCCTGAGAAACTATCATAGTTCTCACACCAGGTCGTCATCAAGATCTCTAATCCGCTCTTACCACCGATTTGCGTATTACACAAGAACTGTAATACCGTCTCCTGTTGAGAGATCACCAAATGAGCAAATACCATCACCAAAGATTGAATAAAGGGCTGGTAATCCGTATTCATCAATCGACGCAACACAGCCGTTAATAAATCAGGTAACACGGGTGAAATACCATGTCCCACTTTTTGAATCAAGGTCACAATCAAATCACCCACAAAGAGCGCATCCGAATCCGATCCCGTAGGCTCCAGAAGTTTGGCAATGAAATGAATCACATAGTCTAATCCACTCTTGCCTGAAGGGTCACGCCATCGCATCACATGTTCACAATCCTTCACAATAAACTGTTTAATGCACTCTTGTGCACTTTGAAGTAAATCAATATCGGGAACACTCCATGCTAATTGCATTAATCCTGGGAACATTTGGTCCGTGAATTCATTGGGCAATGGAGAAGGTCCGTATAAGATCATGGCGCCAAGTAAATCCACAGCCGACTATATCACAACACACAAAAAAAAAAAATTGATCAGCACTCCTTTTTTTTCGCTTAACTCTTATATCCCTCATAAAAAAAAAAACTTACGGCGTGAACAATGGGATCGGTATTGGTGGTGGAAAAGACTTGATTGATAAAAGGAAGGGCGGTAGCACACAAGGAAGGATAGTAGTAGGTGTTTTTAGCAAGTTCCTCAAAGATATCCAAGATATAACTGGTAATGATGGAATCCGAAGCATACTTTTGCCAGACTTGTAAGATAGCACTTGTCAAGATATGCTCGTACTTTGCAGTCACCTCTTGATTGATCTTAATGGCAGAAGCCAATGTTTCAAGTAACAACATTAAAGATTCCTCCGTCGCCATGGGCATCAATTGACATGTACCTTCCATGATATTCACTTGATAAGGAGTGACATATTCGGGACTCAAGTACTTGCAGTAATTGTCCAAAGCACGAAGAGCAGAGATCTTGACGGGGATACCACTGGTGGGAGCCTGTAAAGCATGAACAGCCACAGCCACATACTGGCTAGACATTTCAGCAGGTAAAATCTTGGCAAACTCACTGGCAAAGACAAAGGCACGGCCCTGCAAGAAAGGGAATTCCGCTGCCTTCATGTCTTCGAGAACCACATGATCAAATAAACTCTTGAGATCGAATTGAACTTGTTTCTTTTCATCGTTCAAGGCTTCCATCAATTCGTCGGAAAGTCGACCCACGGACAATAAGCAGGATTCTTGGATTTTCCACCAGTCACCGTTACCAGCGTTACGTGCCTCGTTGGATTCGGCAATGTGACTTTGGATGGCGGCCGTCAGTGCATTGAAAAAGGGGACGGGGAAAGCATCTTGTAAGGTCAAGAGCACATCGATCGAGGCGACACGTGCGTTAAACGTAAATGTACCATCCTCTTCATCCGCCACAAACTGGTTGGCATCGGAAGACCACATTTCCTCTTGTTCTTGTGTGATTTGCATATAGATAATATAGACATACAATAACTGTTCAAAGAAACCGGTGGCTGCTCCCTCTGGGTTCACAAACAAATGCTTCACGGTCTTTTTGGTACATGCAGTAGATACGAAATCAAAGAGGACATACAATAAATGTTGGAAACCAATTTCGTTTCCCTCTGAATCTTGAAAGGTCTCACCGGATTCACCTGCATCGCTGACGAATTCTTGTACATAACGTTCTCGTAAGTTATAAAGGTCCATCCAGATCGGTTCAAAGATTTGAGGTAAAGAGGTTGTGATGTATTTAGGGAATTCGGCACTGATGGTACAGATACATTTGACGACCTTCATCTTTAATCCATATTCCTCCGTCGCCTTTTCAGCGTCACCTTGTACATGATGGTTCAAAATCACAATAAAGGCTTCTAACCATTGAGGAATGATGGGAGCAATGAACTGGTCTGCCAAAGTAGGATCTTCTTCACGTAACGTAGATAACATCTCCACACAGCTAGTAAAGATATTCACAGCTCTTCCTCTCGTACTAAATGAATAAACACTGTCTGAAGTTAAAATACGAAACATCTCGGGAATCAAAACAGGTCCAACTTGAGGTAATTGTTGAATACTGATATCCTTCTTGACCATTTCCAAAAGCACATGCATCGCACCGTGTACACTGTCCTTGTTGTTGGCTTTCAAATAGCTCAACAAGATATCAAATAGGTTGGGCCAATCCTCGGGGAAATCATCATGTGCAATCTTGGATACAACGTAGGCACTCACCACTCGGATTTTACTTTCGGGATCAGCAAGGCCTGTAACAATGATTTCACGCACAGCAGCTTTACTCTACCACATTCATAACCATTTTAGTTTTTTTTTTTTGAGAAGAAGCAATAAAACAAAAAAGGTCTAGCTTTGCTTTTTTTTTTTTTTTTTACCTCGGGTGGTGCTTCAGGACCGATGAATTTATCATCGTTTTTGCTGGACCAGTGGTTTGTTACATATAACTTGAGTGTCACTGCAGCCAAGTAAAGATAAAAAAAAAAGGGTTAAGGGCAATAAGTGTGTGTGTGTGTGTGTGTGTATGGTTAGTCGTATTGCAATATATATATATATAAAAGGATATTTGACGTTGAGCAATGGTGAATTGCTGAGAAACAGTAATTCTTGCAAGACTCACGGGGTACTCTATACAATGAAAAAAAAAATCATTTAAAAAAAAAAGAACATTCTAGTTGTGTCGAGAGGTTGTTCTTTTTACCAGGTTGAACAGCAAGTTCTTTCAGTCTATTTTCAGCAGCAGTACGAATCGTACCATCACTATCGGCAACTCGTAAGAGTGTTTCGAATACAGCGTTATCCATGTTTCTTTTTTTAAAAAAATAGATGAATGTATTTAAAAGAAAGGAAAAAAAAAAAAAAATGTCGTTACTCAAAATAATTTAAACAGCTTCAAGAAAAACTAGTATTTACTAGCACACATACACACACAACGCACACTAAATACACGTACACAAATATACACGCGTAACCAAACAAGAATTCACACATCATCTAGAGACACTCACGTACACAGGAAACATGTATGTCTTCTTCCCCCCTTTTTTTTTCTTTTTTGTTTATAATGAAAACACGCATCGCGTTTATTCACGCGTTCAACTTATTAATGCATTTTCCAAGTGTGTGGGGATTGTAAAAAAAAAAAAAAAAAAAGAGTGAGAGAGAAAAAAAAAATTAGGAGTGGCTTAGCGTCGGAATTTGTTTTTTGCGAGATTGCAACCTGGAACGGTTGCTCATCATACTGTCAAACCCTCCTTCTAAACGCGGTCTAATTAATCACTATGGTAATGTTAAAAAAAAAGACCATCAATCCACACCATCCAAATACATCCATCAACAAAGGAGAGAGAAGGAGAGAGGGAAAGCATCGATTTTTTATATTCAACGATTATGGATGGACAAATTATCCTCCTCCCAAGCACGATAAACCAGATACACACAAACACACAAACACTTAATTCTACATGGTTAATGGGCGCAACATGATTTCGTCCTATTTTTTTTTGTCACCTTTCAACAAACACACCCGAGGAAAAGCATAGATATACATACACATACACGCATACATACACTTTCCCTTTCTCCTTTAATGGAGCATTGAATTAGAAATGGATGGCATTGATGGCACCAAAAGAAAAAAAAACATGTTTATTAACTCTTTTTTTTTTTTTTTGATAAACCAATAGTCCAAAGGTACCAGTTCCTTCGGTAAGCGTCACACCAAGACCCATACTCTCTGCAGACGTTGCGGTAACCGTGCTTTCCACAAGCAAAAGAAGACTTGTGCTCAATGTGGCTACCCTGCTGCCAAGATCAGATCTTTCAACTGGTCCGAAAAGGGTCAACGTAGAAAGACCACCGGTACCGGTCGTATGTCTCACTTGAAGGATGTCCAACGTCGTTTCAAGAACGGTTTCCGTGAGGGTAAGACATTGATAAGAAAAAAAAAAAAAAGGGATGAGGAAAAGAAAAGATGATTAACTGTTTATGCGATATAATAGGTACTCAAGCCAAGAAGGTTGTCTCTGCCTCTGCTTAAATTTTGTCCCTTTAAACGTGTCCTGATCGAAAACATTTAAAAAAAAAAACTTGACCCGTTCCTTTTCCTTTGAATAAAAATTTAAGGCATGGAAAAAGAGTAAAGTTCTCTTTTTTTTTTACTTCCTTCGAAACCAGAAACCAATTTTTTATTTTATTTTTTGCTGTATCTATGCGTAATGCTATATTTTAAACTCTTGCTTTTGATGCACGGCAATTCGATTGATTTATTTATATTTACACACGCTCCTTTTATTTTGATATTGATTCGGTTTAAGCGCTAGATGAATAACGCGTGTTTTTCACTAAAGAAAGTCACCTTTTTTTTTCTTTCCAATTTTTTTTTTTTTTATTAGTTTAGGCAATGGCCTGAAATAAAATTGTTATCCCCTCTCTTTTTTCTTAACTAAAAACTAAAAAAATGAGGTAAGCCAAAAAAAAAAAAAACGTACCCAAAAAAAAAAAGCGCGTCTAAATAATACCTCCCCTTTTCCCTGTTATTTTCTTTAGTAACCCACACCCTGACCGTCCCATTGCGGTACCCAAACGTCGAACCAACAGAACCACCTCCTTCATGTCAGCAGGCAGTCAAGGCACACCACCCGCAACCACTAGTCCTTTGGCCGGATTTAGTTTTGGAAACACATCAGCACCTTTAACTGCAGCAAAGCCACCAGCAACAGCACCTCCTAATTTCAACACTGGCTTTGGTAACCCTTCTCTCACCGGTTTTAATACCACCGGATTCCCTGCTCCCGCAACATCTGCTCCTACAACGCCCACTGCTGCTAATACCACTACAAATACTGGATTCGGTGGTTTCTCAGGGTTTGGAAATACAAACATTACTCCTTCTCCATTCGGTAGCACTACACCTACCACAGCAGCAACAGCAGCACCAACAACACCTACAGCAGCAACACCAGCATTCGGTAATGGATTCGGCACACCAACTACCAACAGTCCTTTCGCTGGATTCTCCATGACTGGTAAAAAAAAAAAAAAGCTTGTAACGTACACATTAAACCAGTAATTGAATCTACTTTCCTTTTAAAAATATAGCACAAACACCCAAAGCTAATGAGACACCTTCACCTTTCTCTTTTGGAACCCCTGTTAACGCACCTACACCTGTCATTTCCACTGGATTCAGCTTTTCTTCACCTGCCACTACTACTGCTGCTGCCGCACCTACAAAGGACGATACACCCATCAAAACATCATCCTCTTTTGCTGGATTTACAGGTCCACCCAAGCCTGTAGATAATGCCAGTGGAAAGACGACATTTACGTTCAACCCCCCTGCTACTACCACTACTACTACCAATGCCGCTCAACAGGGTGGATTTTCATTTGGAACACCTGTGAAATCAACAAGCGAGGAAAACAGTAACGAAAAGCCATCACCCTTTGGCGCGTCCCCATTCCAACCCACGGGCGGATTTGGATTTAAACCTACAACAAATGCTGAATCTACCACAACGAATAAAGACGAAACGACAAAAGATACGAACGCAAAGAAAAATGACGAACCTGCTTCTACAGGATTTTCATTCGGTACACCTGCAAAAGAAACGACCGAAAAGCCTTCCTTCACTCCTTCCACCGGATTTTCATTTGGAAAGCCAAAGGAGGATACCACCACTGAGAAAAAACCTACCTTTAGTTTTGGAACACCTGCTGAAAAACCTGTTGTTGCTGCTGCTCCTGCTGCTGCTACTGCCAGTCCATTCGGTACTCCCGCTACTACGTCTGATCAAGAGAAACCTGCTGCTGCTGCTGCTGCTGCTTCTCCTTTCAGTTTTGGTACTCCCAAGGTAGCTCCTGCTACTACTGCTACTGCTGCCTCTTCATCATCAGACGCTGAGAAACCTAAATTATTCTCCTCTTTTGGTGCTGCTCCTGCAAAAGACACCGAAAAGCCTTCCCCTTTTAGCTTTGGTACACCTGCTAAATCTACCAACGAAGCTGAAAAGGAAAAGCCTTCACCCTTCAGTTTCGGCTCTCCTGTAAAGCCTACTGCTACTACTACAAATACAGAACCCGAGAAAGAAAAGGCCTCTCCCTTTAGCTTTGGTACTCCTGCAAAATCAACAGAACCCGAGAAGGAAAAGTCTACACCTTTCAGTTTCGGTACACCTGCAGCAGAGAAAGCTGATAAAGAGAAGCCTTCTCCCTTTAGTTTTGGTACACCTATCACTAAACCTAGTAATAATGAAGCCGAAAAAGAAAAGCCTTCACCTTTCAGTTTTGGCACACCTACAGTAGAGAAAGCTGATAAAGCCAAACCTTTTACTTTCGGTACACCTGCCACCCCTAACGAAGCCCAGAAGGAGAAACCATCACCCTTCAGCTTTGGTACACCTGCAAAATCAACAGAATCTACCGAGAAGCCATCGCCTTTCAGCTTTGGTACACCACCTACCGTCAAACCTACTGAAAATGCTCCCAAGGCATCACCTTTCACTTTTGGCGCACCACCCGCCACGACGACAGAAGAAAAGAAAGAGGAGAACGAAAAGACCGCTGCCGCCTCAAAGCCTTTTACCTTCAACTTACCTCCTAGTGGCGGTGAAGCCGCTAAAACTTTTTCATTTGGCAATCCAACAGATAAAGGAGAAGGTTCAAAAAAGAAGAGACAGCTGGATCGTGATGGAGATGAGGACGGACCTTCTTCTTCAAAGAAGTTTACAATGAGTAGTGACACTGCCAGTAAACCTTCCCCTTTCAACGCTACGAACCCCAAGACAACCTTTTCATTCGGCGCACCCCCCGCTGAAAAAGATACCAAAGCTTCTGCTACCACAAGTCAACCTCCTCTCTTTTCGCTTGCAGGATCCAAAGATAAGTCTACGAGCGAAAAGAAATCATCCGATACACCCTTCTCGTTTGCTTCCTCCAGTACATCAGCATCAAAGGAACCTTCAAAGGCACCCGTCATTAGTTTTGGAAATGCGTCATCTACAAAGGAAACAGAAACCGAGGCAGAAAAGAAGACAACCACAGCAGCAGCAACAACAACATCAACAGCAGCAGCGGTGGGAACAGGAGGTAAAAAAGTCACATTTGGTGGATCCACACCTGTGGTGGTTGAAACACCTGGTTCTGCCGATCTTGCTTTCAGTAAATCAAGCACAACTGCAAGTGACGTATCTGGTCCTTTATCTTTATCCACAACGAAAAAAGATGCCAGTACATCAAGGTAAAATTAACGGGAAAAAGGAAGGAGGTCTAGAGAGAGTTTATATTTATATGTAAAAAAATTATAGTGAAAGACCAGTGCAAACAACACTTAAATCCACAGTGACAGAACCTAGCCAAATCACATATAAAACTTGTTTTTGGGAATTACCCGATGAAGCGCGTAATGAATTGGCTTTACTTGCTAATTTCATTACAGAACAAACGGATATGCATGATAAAATCGCTGATGAGTTGAATTCGTCCTTTGGACCTGATTTGACTGATTTCGGTATCAAGGCACTTAGTATGGATAACGTAAGTAGTATAACACATAGACACGGGGGAGGGAGATAGATTTTAATGTGTTTTTTTTTTATATGTAGGATGCACAAATTTTAAGAAAACAATTAGAAGTGCAAGGTGAATCTCTTCATGAATTAATCTCTAAAAACAAGGAGCAACGCTTAAACGCAGTGGCAGCCAGCAATGTTCAAAAGCAAGATACAAAGGACTGGCGTACGCGTGGTGCGTTTGAGAACTGGACCTTCTTTGCAAATACAATTGAACAGATGGAAAATCGTCTTCAACAGTTTACACAAGCTACGGAATCGATTCAAGACGCTGTCAATGGTTTACAAAAAGATGCTCCTCCTACACCCGAAGCTATCGGACATATCGTACAACAACAACAACGCATGTATTTATCTTTGGCAGGTCGTGTAGCTGAGCTGCATCAAGAAGCTGACCGTGTCTTTAAAAGACGAAAAATAAACTAATCCTATACACATCGCACGCTTTCTTCTTCTTCTTTTTTTTTTTCTTTCCCCATATAATAAACATACAAGCCCATACACACATCTATTATCATTTTTTTTTTTTTTTTTTTTGTTATTGTTTCCCAACCTCTCTTCTTTTATTTATTTTTGACAAGATGGATTAATTGTTCACAATTCTTTTCCACTGTAAATTTAGCCTTATCGTTAGGTAATCCCAAAGATTTAGCACTACATATAAAAAGAAGTTTAGAAACAAACCATAAAAAACGATGACCCCAAATAAGATAACAACTTACAAATAAAATACATCTGCAGGATTACGAATCTCGGATACGATTTCTGCCCCACTTGTAATGATACAATTGTTTCCATGTGTAAATTCAAATAATTGCTTGGCCACACCAATTGTATAGGTTCTAGCTTGAGCATCTCGAATCGCATTGGCATAGGATAATTCAAAATAAACGTGTCGTTGCAATGCCTTGTTAATATCAGCTGCCTTTATTTCAAAGGGTAAACGTTCTGTGAAATGGAATGAAATGATATCAATGGCATCACTTGTACATGCTTGTTGAAATACACCGAGATCCGTGGTTTTCATCGCAATCAAGTCAAAGTTTTCTCTTAATTGTGCCACCGTGTCCTATTTTTTTTTATGCTACTGTTATTCCTTCTTATATAAGAACCGGTCATATCATATTTACTGGTTGTAAAAGCTCGTCTGTTTCGATGGTCACACGAGATAAAACCGTCAAGGGAAAAGGTGAGTTTAATAAGCTCTTGTCAAAATTATATTTTTCTGACTTTAATGGCATCTACTTTTTGATTTTATTTTAGCACATGTCTTTGATTTCCTCACTTCTTTTGTTTCTTGCTTTCTTACTTTTCCCTGCATGGTGTAGTTTAAAGCAACGGTACATTCTTGAACTGTAAAAAACCAAGATAATAATAATAATGAGTTTCACCCTGATAAACTTTTGTTCATCTAATTTTACATTGAGTTACTCGCGATAAAATAAGTTTAATTCTATCGACAGAAGCACGATCGGGGTTCGATGAACATGGTATATTGAGATCGCAGTACATGGTGAAAGGTAATAAAAAAGGGTAGTGGCTTGTTCAAGCCGCCCAAAAAAAGTATTTAAATTCAGTTCTTACATCCCCCCTATTTTGGCGTATTAGACGGAGTATGTAAAACGTACTTTAAGAATCTCCATTGCTGCAAACAGAACTAGGCCGATTCTGTTGAGCCTACCATCATATACACTGATGATACCTCCAAGGAGCCACATGTGCATTTTAAACTCAATTCGTTTACACCCATGTGTTCCCTTGAGGCGTCATGAATGTTGTTGATTTGTTTTCGATATTTTTGGTGTATATTACCAAATCACTGATGATTAGATCAGCCAATATTTTTTGATCATTAGGATAACTATTCCTTTTTTATAAGTAAACAATTATCTCATGTCAACATGATTTTTCTCATGGTATATAAACCCGCCCACACACTTTTTTTTTTCCTTTCTTTTTCTTTTTTATGTTGTTTCATAAGCAGGTAAGTTCATATTAACAAACTTTTTTTTTTCAAGCAAATGCAGAGTTTTATAAAAGCACATTTTTTCATGCACCAAAAGTTGTCTGATTTTCGCGAGACACGGGTGATATCACAGCTACTTTATATGGACTGGAGACATCAAGACTTATTTCATCTCCTTTTCTTTTCTTTTTTTTTTCGTCTGTGTTAATAAGAACACGTATCTATTTTCTCTCCAATAGTGGGAGGGTCTGTTTCTGAAGCCATTAAAAAATGGAAGAAAGTGGCTGGAAAGGATACCCCTTATTTTTTGTAGCAAGCAGTGTATTTCTCTTTACTTATTAACAGGTAAATGTGTTGAGTATGTTAGCATTACTTTGATGTGCCATTTATATGACCATCAGGCAGCTAAAAAGCGTCATTGACGGATTCACTACTAAAGCATACCCAGCAGCAACAGAGCAGAAGAAACATTTGCCACTGATGTGGCACGTCTTACTAACAAACGTGACCAAATAATTTCATGCTACTAGATTTCCCCCCGCTACGTGCACAGAAGCAGGATTTTGCAGAATGTAGTATAAATGGGTGTAATTTTTTTTTTTTTATTTGTTTAAATAATAATCTGAAAACTAGTTAGGGGGGTATTGCTTTTGAGGATTACACAATTATGAACCGTAAGTCAATGGTCTTTCCAAAATCTCACGTACAACAGATGAAGCACCTTCTGTAGGTGTTCTGACCGTAAGTCGATACATCTAATGCACACACGTTATTACAAGGCTAATCTATTTTTTCTTTTTCTTAAAAAAAACACTTACATTTTGTTCCATGTTGGGTTCCAGCCGTAATAAGATACCAATTTTACCACCTCTTGCACCAGAGTCCATAATACCCGCACCCACAAAATTATTAGGGTTGGGATCCACACCGATCAATAATCCTATCCCGAAGCCTTGCAAGATGGAGGCAGCGGTCGAAAGTTGAATAGGCACTTGACTTGTAAAGATCACTTGGTTTTCACGAGGGGGTCCTCCAATTTGGTTCCAGCGTTTGAAAAAGTTAGTACCATCCATGGTTGTAATCGGTTCTTGGAACTTGGTGAGTACAATGGGAAGTTTCAAGTGAAGAATGGGAGTCTCCGGACCCACTGTGTACGTCACAAAAAGATCGGGTGAATTGGCAAACACATCTACACACTCGGCTGTGATCAAGCGTTGAGTTTGTCCACCAGCTGAGAGTAGATGACTATCAGCAGGTGCAAGGTTGATGTTGAGTCCCTCAAGAGGTGTCACCACCACATTGATATCTGACATAGTGTAAGGTGTTTTGTTGGTCAAGTATAAGGCAAGACGCCCTTGGTTGGCATGGTATTCGGATTTGACAGATACTTGCATTTGAGAATCTTCATATAATACACCTTCCTTGTTATATTGTAAGAGGTTGTAACCGAGCTCATAACCAGAGGCTAAAGGTGTATTAGTGGGAATATTTAAGAGTTGCAAAGGAGGAGAAGAATGATTGGTATCTAATGAAAGATCATTAAAGTTGAGTAAATCGGGTTCATCAGATAATTGGATCGTCTGAGATGAGGTGAGTGGCATGGTATTAGACCGTGTAGGCATGTGTGCAGGGGCCAAGGGAGATCCTGAAGCAGCAGCATGGACATTGTCTACCGAGCTAGAACGAACAGAGACCATACGTTTTAAGCTATCTTGACGTTCCATATTGGCTTCACGCCCACCAATGACCCATACACGTTTATCTTCAGTATCACCTTGCTTTTGATTGAGTTTGAGCAACAAGGTCGATTCACGTTCAGGGAAAGGAGGCATCTCTTCACACACAGTTTGGAGCATATCATCTGTTGGCATTGTGGATATGGAAAAGTATTCACAAGCACGTTGTTGAAGTTCAGCATCCAAGACATATCTGTACTGGTTCAACACAGGTAAAATCTGGCCCTTGATTTCAGGAAAGAGATTCACAAACTTGACGTAGGTGGTCATTAATAATGCGCGAGTTTGAAGTGAGCAGAGATTGAATTTGGCATGCACCGCATTAAACTGTTCGATAGGACTACAGCCATTGATATTGGCAATCAAATGACCGAATTCACCAAGAATATAACCACCCACTTTAACCATGGTTTCATTGTACTGAGGCGAGCCCAGATAATTCAAAACGGTTTTAGCTGCATACTCTTGCAATTCCTCATTGTTGGTGACGATCTGTACAACACGGAACCAGACCTCCTCTCCTACTTGTTCGCCCGCTGTCGAGATCAATTGCAAGATGATATCCACGTACCAGGAATACGTAGATGCGAATTTCTCTGCCAAAATTGCAATCTTCAACACCATTTCTTCTCGCATAGCATAATCCGCCACTTGAAGGTATCTCAACAATTCAGACACAACAATCTTGGCATTGGAGGTATCGCACATGGAATACAAAAGATCCAAACCGCGTCTTCTGACACTGATATCTTTGTCGCGCAATGACAACAAGATGGTTTCTTGATGCTTCTTGATGGGTTCCAAAGAATCAACACAAGCAGCTAAATGCGCCATGGTTTCCAAACCAAGGTAACGCACATTGGTCTCCTTGCTGGAAATAAAGCGGCCTAAAAGTGAGGCCGCTTGAGCACAAATCGTGGAGTTACTGTCAAGATGAATGGCGAGGTTAATGGCTTCAAACAAGACGGCGTTTTGGGCGTTACTGTGTTGCACGTTCTTAGGCGCATCTTGAGAATTGGTGATGATGATCTGCAAGAGCTCGCTGATGTCAGAGCGTAATTTAACGTCGTCTGTAGTGAATTCAATGAGCATGAATTCTCTCTTTAAATAAAGAACTATCTACTTACCGGGAGGAGGGTAATATTGAAGAAGACGGAGACACTTGACTTGTAACCAAGGTGTAGGTACCTTGTAATAAATATAGTCCATACTGTAATCTCTTTCGATCAAAATCTATATCACACGTTGCATTTAATATCCCACTTTTTTTATCCACACTGGAATCTTTTTTCTTTCTTTCTCTCGTCTTACTCTCTTTAAACGATTGACGGCCTTTTCATAACATCCACTATACTCTACGGGGAAACTTTGAGCTAAAGCAAGGATCAATGTAGTTACACTGAGTGCCACACCCTTAAAAAAAAAAAGGGAAAGTTGTGAGTACTGGGTGCCAATGCATCTATAGCGTGTCGTACCAAATCATATTCATCCATCAAAGAAATGATGCGCTCTGCCCAATCTGTGACAGGAATTACATCAGGATGCTTACGGAATAAACGTAACAAGGTCAATGCAGCCTTTTTTTTCACAAAACTCTTTGATGTTCTAGTAAAAATGGAAGAGTTAAAATACTTATTTCTTCTTCGTTATGTTGTACTTTACGGTGAAATCAATAAACGGTGAACATCCACAGCAAGACTCTCCGCCATTTCCCGACCACCGATATTTGCAATGGCGTGTAATGCTAAGCAATTATTAATCTCGTTCATATCGTCCAGATCCTTCTTTGTGGAATTCACAACAAGTCGTACAAGGTCACTATTTTCATGAAATAATAAAGTAACTGCCAAATAACCCTAACAACATGATTTTTTAGTAAGCATTTCTTTTCTTTTCTTTTTTTTTGTTATAGATGTTGCGAGGGCCTTTACAATTTGCTTTTCGCTGTACTTTTGACTGGAAATCAAATTGACGGCTTCCAAGTGACCAAAATCGATATCCCAACCGAGAATATACATGTATAATAATTTGCAGACATATTTCTTTTTCTGATATCCGTTCAAATTGCCCTCTACAAAAAGAGAAAGAAAAACAAAAGATGTTGAATCCCACTGAAATATCAATATTATGGCAGGTTATTTTACCTTTGAATTTCGAACGAATGTTGGCCATTTCCTTATTAATTCTTTTTTCTTCCAACTCTCGAACACGACCTAGCTTAATGTTTTAGTATTTTTCTGGGTATAAAGCGTTTCTTGTTTCTGTTCATACATTTTCGAATATCGGCTAAAAGAAATACGGACGAAACAATTAATTAAAAAGTCTTTGTGAGTAGTATTGTATACCAATTACCAATGAATACCGTCAACCCACGCATAGCACTCATGATGAAGATGAAGAAAAAAAAATAAAAAAAGCAACAGAACACCCTCACCAGACGACTTACAAAAAAAAAATACTTAATAAGCGGGTCCTGAATAATGTTTCCTGATTGGGAAATGGAGGAAAAGGGTTGGCATATGGTTCATTTCCCCACCTAAAAAAAAAAATCCATGGTCCTTTTCTGTCCCATTGAGTGACGTTACTGTCATTCAGCAAAAAAAAATAAAAAAAAAAATTACGTATATATTAAATGTTAAAAAATGGTGGAAGTTGAACTAGTCTTTGGCTTCAGTATCGTTCATTAAAATCCATTCAATAAAACGAGTAACTTGTAGCATATGCATTGATATGTGAGTTCAGGAGAACATGAAATGCATAGAACGCAAAAAATCTCCAGACTAAATCAGGGCTCATTGATATTTTTTGGTAAAAATTACCCCGCCTTCTTAAATGACAAGACACATGTTTTCGTTACTGAATGGAAAAAATAAATGATTAACATTAATACTTGAATGTAGATATTGCTACAGCTAACCTTGTTCCATGTTATATTCGGCTACACAATTATAATATCTAAACAAATATTGCTAACGTAATACAGCTCTCCTAATAATGCTGAGTGTCCTCTTACTATTATTTTTACGGTGGCAGCGAAGCGACGCTTGTAGTCGCCTATTTATTCTTGTTTAAGGTCATCACCATGGAGATTAAAAAAGTACATGGTTGTACAACCTCAAGCGAAATACTAGGTTGAATTCCAAGAATAGTTGCCACTAAACACAAGCAGCTAAATACGACTTTGACTTTTATGTAAATCTTCTATTACCGTTGATATTATCTGTCTTTTACGAAAATAACTGGGTATCTATATTCATATCGATGTAAGATTACGATTTAATAGTTTTGATACACATCAAATTGACGTGCTACTATTGCAATTAGTACATTTTGTATCATATTTGGTACTTGTTTAACAAAAGGATATTTTGAGTGTAAATTGACAACATTTTTATATGTATCGAGAAAAAATTTGCCTGTTCATAAATAGCTCTAACCCTGAAGTGATCAGGTTGATAACAGAGCTCGATCAATCACTTAAAAACTGGGCCATACTCCAGTAAGTGAGTACGTGAGTAATGAGGACTTTACAACTTAATATGGGTTTTTTTTTGAATAATGGGATGATTTATTCATTATATTGCTACCAGTTTATCATGCATGTACCTTTTCTTTTTTCGACGATCAATCAAAATCAAAAGCTTATTCATGCAGATAAACTTTGTGCCAATAAATGGCAAGAAACATACTTTGAACTAAATTTTGCGCATAATTCATGCGACACCAAACATTTACAAAATGCTTTTTTATAATAACGCTATAACATAATAGACTGGCATTTTGCCTCTTCGTGTGAAGCACAATGACTGTAAAAAAAAATAACAATGAAAAAAATACTATATATAATCCGATTGTTTTATTAATCATAAGGATCGTCAATGCAGCAACTTTTTATTTGTGTTTCCAAAGTTGTTGCCACCATATCTAGACTACTTTGAGGCTGCTGGACCATATTCTGATTTGGAAAGAATGGAAAGTATTCCAGCTCAGAAGCGAAATAATAATTTTCAATGGTATAGTTTAGCACGCTATGAATGGACTGTATCAGCATCCGAAACTTTGTAAAGTTGACCAGTCCATTATCGTTGATTGTTGCATTACCATCCATTAGAAATGTCAAATCCTTGAGAACGATCGGAAAAAAGGGTATGCATGGTGCCTTTGCTGCCTTCTTGAACGCCTGTCGATAATAGCTCATATTGTTACACACGTTAAGATATTTTATAAGTTGCTTCAGTGTCATTACATCTCTGTTAGGCAGTAACGACACCTGCTGCCATGTATTATCTCGAAATTCTTGCAATTGGGTTAGACCCATGGTAAGCACCATGCTGGTATGGAAATTATTCCAGTTCAAACAAAGCTGTCATATGTTAGTTTAAGTTTTGAGTATTATTTTTTTTAAAAAAAAATAAAAATAATTACCTTTGCTATTTCAATCATTTTTCTTATAGTCATTCTTCTTTGTTTGCTATTTATTTTATGTACAATGATTTCTTCGACTACCCATTTACTCAGCCTATTTGCTCGTTCAGTCATCATGGCCACGTAGTCAATTTTTATATGATCCTTATTTTTTTTTTTAATGTTGCCGGGATAATAGATGGTCAAGTAATCTTGAGCTGTAATGCATTTTAGTATGTAAAAGTCGGCCAACGTCAGATATCGCGCAATGTCCTTAGAATTGAGGGATAGGAAGACGTCAGGTGAGTAGAGTGGTGAGTCGGGTGGTGTTGAGTATGATACAAATGATAGAAAGCTCGGTGTGACAGACGGTCGTCTCACAATAGGATTATTTGTTGTTGTGCAACTATTGCCAAATGACACAAGGGATTGTGACGTTTGAACAATGAATGAGTGCCTTGACTTGGAATATTGAATATTCTGTGATGATTTTTTTTTTTTAAAAAAAAAAAAAGATTAATATGTATTGACATAAGAGTACAATGTACTTACTTGTCTATCCAAAGATTCTTTAATCATGTCCGCTTCGACCGTGAAACCAGCACGATCGACATCACCGTTTAAAAATGCTTCTAACCGAGTAATTAAAACTGGATTTGACGTGAAATCTTCGAACTGTAGTTTGATCCAACGAGAAATAACATTTAATACTCTACTAAATGTTAAAAAAAACGGATAAGTGTAAGTGGTAAATTTATACTTTACTTGACTTGAATGCATCTTTGCCATTTTTTAAAGTAATTTGCTTCCCCTGGTAATGCTTCCAAGTGAAATCTGGCCATTAGATTTTCCAAAAGCTCAATGGAATCTGTAAAGAATAGATGACTTAGGATATATGTATCAACATAATCTAGATCTTGAGAGCTTTCATCGGCTAATTTCATAAACAGTCTTTCCAGAGTACCGGCTAGAACCTGTAATTTATTTGATTGTACCATTTCCATAACCAACACGTCTTCCCCGTTTTCAGATACGTGGAGTATGGAGCCTTCTTTTCCCTTTTCTTTGACTTTTCTTAATATTTTGTCATCCTCGTCTTCGTTAGTATTCATATTGTACAGCTTATTCACAAGCGAAAGTTGTGAAGGACATCTCTTTAATTCTTTCGGGCCCCATGGCTTTAAGATTGATGTAAGTACCCGGAGGTCGTTTTCAGATCTGTTGTGCTTTAGATAAAACGGCTGTTCTTTTACAAATACGGGCTCTGCGAACTCTCTTTGAATAGATGTTGTAACCATGGTGTCTGTGATATCGGAAGTTGTAGTGAAGCAAGCAGAATCGGAGCTATCAAAATCGTTTGTTGTACGTACACTTATGTTTCTTGCATACGGGGATATCAATGTTTGAACAGATGCTCTTTTATTAGTACTATCTGACTAGATATCTGATTTAGATAAATGCACAATGAATATCTGAAATGTCTTGGTACCTCGTTACTGTTTTCAAATATATCTTTTGGTTGACGTTTATTTCCACCAAAGAAAAATCTTAGACTGTTTTTTGTTTTTTTTAATGACTCTCCTTCTATGGTTCTTTCTTCATCGATTTTTAGTCTAGACTGACTATTTGAGTCCGAAACATTGTGGTGATGACTTTTTTTCAGGGAAGATATGCTACGAATGAATCTTTTGCCGACTAGGGTGTAAATATGTTAAGGTTTTATATACTTGTGTTTTTATATTCCTATGTTACCTGTGTCATTATGGCTAGTTTTGATTTTTTCACTATTGTTGTTTTTTAAGGTATACATTGTAAAAAGAAGAGGAAAAAGAATGTAAAAAAGGAGAAAAGTATTAATAATAGGAATGTCAAGTATTATCCCTGTTTTTATTTTTTTCATGGTTACCTTTTTTTTGCACGAGTTCCTCCCTGATAAAGAAATGATGGCAGTAAATATGTCTCACCTAAACATAAACAAAGGATTAGAATATCAAATAGTGTGGTCGTATTTTGATGATCTCACTTTTCTGTTTATCTGGAGTGGGTGGAGGTGTCAATATCATGGAAGGCGTTTTTTGCTGGTTCAAGAAAGAAACCAATATTGAGCTCATAAGTTGATATAAATGGGTTACAATAAGCAACTACTACAAATTAGTGCTTCGCTCATCCCTAGTTTTTTTTTTCTTCTTGTTATAATTTTACTTTAAAGCTCTTTTTGTCCAAGGTTTGATGTCTCATTCTCTCGACCAACTCTAATAACTGATTTGCTAATGATAACGTTTCTAATGTTGTCTCTTCATTTTTAAACTTTGAAATAATCGCCTTGGTGACAGAATATAGAAGTGCAGAAGCGTTCATAATAGTGATCAGGTGATCATGAAATAAATCGTGCTGCTGCTGCTGTTGTTGTTGTTGTTGTTGTTGTTTAAGAGTCAATTTTGGTATAAAGATATACAGAATTTCTAAAGTTGATTCCAGTGTCCGCCATAAACAAATTTCCAACTATTAAAAGTTATTTTCATCTCCCATGATTTTTTATTTATTTTTTATTACACTTTGGTTTCTATTGGTAACAATTGATTCGATTTGTTTTGATATCCTTTTTGTATCTTTAACAATTCCTTCTTCTTTCATTTACATATATTCCCTACTTTGCTTTTTTTTCGGAATAAAAGAAAAAGAAAGAGGAAAAAAAGGGGAAAAAATTCATGACATCGTCGTCGATTGATTTGTTATTATGCTAACGTGTAGTGTTTATGCGTATGCTCTGATGGCAAATGATACGATTTAATAACACTTGTTTTTATGCAACACCTCTCCCCTTTTCATCCCAAAAAAGTAAATTAGGGAGTGTCAAAATGCATTTATTATTTTACCCAGGTTAAAAAATGCGCTTCTTTAGCCTGTGTAACAATGCACTCCTTATTTTATTACTTCTCGTCTGACAATGCATTTCAAAGGAAGGTTGTCTTGTTAGAAAAAAAATTGAGTAAAGCTCGGTAGCCATTATTCGATAAAGACACTCAAAACAATTTCGCTTTGGTGATCCTGACCCCTTTTTTTTTATTGGTTGAACATCATTTTATTTTGTCAGCAACTGCATTATCCAAAGCTCGCAAAGATCAAGTTTTATTTTTCAACAATTTATAATACACGGTGTATAGCTTTAACTATAGTACATGCATACATCTAGTTTGATGTGGTGAATAGTATTTGCTTGTAGATTGTCAATGATTTAATAAGATTAAAAGTAAGAATTATGTCTAAATTAAAGTAAGTGGCATTTGTGATTGATTTTAACAGAAAAAATACAGTTTATTTAAGAAAACATATTGCTTTTTCCTCGATATCGAAGGTTTAGACTACTGATGTAAAGCAGAACGTATTGAATCTTAATACCAATCATGGGGCGGTTGTTTAAAAAACAAGCACAGCTACAACTTCTTTTTTAAAAAAAAAACGTCGCGATCTTTTTACCCTTTAATCAACCATGGATGAGTTCAATACTTCGGCAGCTCGAGATCAAACCGAGGGTCATAAAGCACTTTTAGAATTAGAAGCGAAATTTAATAAAAAATCACGTTCAGCAGCTTTAAACATTCAAGGCTCTCAAATCCAAGCGCTCACTGGTTTCATTCATATTTTTGAACAATACCCCTATCCTGTTGTCATTAATGCTGCCATTTTGAAATTAGCTGATTGGTTTCGAACATAGTAAGCCAAAAAAAAAAAAAAATTGATTTCCTCATGCCTGATGCTCTTCTGATTCACGCTGTTATTATAGTAACAACAATGTTAAATATTATGTATATAAAGTATTTAAGGAAGCCTCAGATCTCCATTTGGCTAAAGTGATCAACGTAGAAGAAACCGTGAGACGTATCCTACCCATTCTCGGTAGTAACGACACGATTGCCCGCTCCATTACCTTGCGGTATGTATGAAAAAGTTTGACTAGACCAATTTTTGAAGTGCTGACCCTTTGCATAGTGTTCTTGGTTGTATGTCTATGATTATCGCAGAGAAATTGGATGTTCAATTTGGGTAAACCCTTATCTGGATAGATAATCAAACAAGTTATTTAACTTATTGAACAATAGTATCATTCAACGATTGGAATTAGCTACTGACCGAATTGAACTCGAAGCTGCTATATGGGCAGGAGATCAAATATGTGCAAGATCAAACAGATTTCCCTCTGTCATTTTCTCAAAAGTAGCAGACAAACTTGAAAGTAAGATTTAATACATTTAGGAAGGATATTTTTGTGTGTCTGACCTATTTTGCATGCGCTATTAGAAGCAGATACGCCATTTGATATCAAATTGCGGCTAGTCAAGATATTTCGTCATATGCATCAGGATATTGGCATGGCAAGACAGGTAAACCAAGAACTAAGCATATTTTTAAAAGAAACACAACTTATAATTGAATAGGCAAAATTAGCATGTTTAAACCTTTTAAATAATACGAACACTGAGAGCAAGCTAGTCATTGTAACATTAAGAACATTGACATTGTTGCTGAGTGAAGCTGTCATTGACCGCAAGGAACAGGTATAAAGACCGTACGATGAACAATAGGCCGTTGCTAATACATTTTTTTTTCTCGTTACTTTAGATCGATCGACTATTGAATTATGCATTGAACGATACCCGAGAGGATGTTCGATATAACGTATTGTATGATTTGTTTATACTCGGAAAGAACGATATCATGTTTGACGAAACGCATATTGTTCGCCTTTTGCAAGTCATCGTATCAAAGGGGGATAGCCGAACACAACAAAGAGCGTTCAAGTGTGCGCAAAGCCTGATCGATACACATCAAAAACTGATTGTCCAGATCATTACATCTAACTCGCCCATAGTGGAAGAATTCATCATGTCGATATACGAATGTGAACGAATCATGATTCGAGCTATAGAAAATAAACATTACGCACTTTTGATTGCCTGCGCAAAAATGTTGTATACTGTTTTGCGAGTCAGCTTATCCACAAGAAGAAACGACGATACGATGGATGTTGATGGACAGATAATTCCAAAGATGAAGGAATTGGGTTATAGAGTTGCAGAACATATTACAAAAGTAGACGTAGTATTAATTAATCAAGATAAAAATTTAAAGCAAGCAAACAAGTACAAAGTGAGTAATATTATTGATATAGCGATTTGTGTCTGATTATCGGTATATATAGTTACGAGAACTGTTAAAAATCAAGTCAAATTTCTGTCTGCTTTTGGAAGAATGGGACTGCGATGCATCCTTTAAAGATGCTTACACTTTGTTAACTAATGCGGATGGTACATGATGAGAAAGTTGGTGAAATGAACACTATACTAATTGTATTTATAATAGATGAAATAGCTGCAGTATTACTGCCTTATCTTTCTTCTATATCAAGAAAATGTACACAGTTATCAACCTGGTTTCCAGAAGAGGCGCTGAAAGAGCTACAAAAGAGAGTGAAAAGGCCAACCGTATATGTAAGTAGATTTTAATAACTTTTTCTTTTTTTAGTCCTTACAGTGCATATTAGGTAAATTTGGTCCGTTTATTATTACGAACCACTAAAAGTACACATGAATTGACAGATATGCTTATATCACTATTAAATCAATTTGGAAAATGGGACGATGAGACAAAAAGCTATTTGGATAACGGATGGAATATATATTTGATTGGTATGGAGGCTGGTTCATGCGGATGGTATGAATTGATGTATAACACGATGAAGGGATTGCGTAAGAAAGTGGATACCGAAGCCTGTTTTTACTGGCTAAGTTCTTTATCATCGCTCGCACATGCTGAATGGACTTTATCCAAGGATCAGACTACAAATAATAGCGGGTATACAGCCTCTATATCAAATAAGTTTATCAAATCCCTGACGCAACTCAAAGCGCTTCAGTCATTGGAGAAACCTAGAACCAACCAATCGTGGTATATACAGCTTCGTATGGAAATGCTGGCTGCTATTCAGCACACGCTTTCTGTCCTCGGCCATACCAATATGAAAAAGCAAACGAAATTAATGGAAGATTGCGCGGTCTTGTATCGAAAAATTGCATTTAGATACGATTTTATCGCACAGGCACAGTTCGGTATCGATAGAGAGACCTTGGAAGTGATTGAAAGTTACAAGATATGTGCCTTGATTTGTGAGCATGCGGCACGTACATTTTCTGGTTCAGATCGATTATTCTTTTGTATTGATCCGTCTTTGATCCCATTGATCAATAGCCAAGATAACTCACCACGCAAATTCTCCAATCGAAATCAATCCATGTATATGTTTGATTTATGTAAAGAGTTTTTGCGTACAGTAACAGGATGGGACGATTTGGAGCATTTGGACCAAGCAGACCGTTACTCGGTAAGCATGTGAAGAGAAAAAGATGAAATTGTACATCATATTAAGATTAGTTGTAGACATGTAGCGCAGACATGAAGCATATTTTACAAACCATCATGACAGAGCCTTTAGTGTTGCCGAAATCCTTTTTTGAAAATCGCCAAAACATAGCTATTCAGTTAACTACTGAGCCTACGTTAAGTGAACAAAAACCTGTTACACTCCAAACAAACGAGGATCTTGTTATCAAGTTTGAAGGTCTCGTCAAAGTTAGTCAACACGACAAAAGTAAGTTGCTAACAGCAGTAAATCTATCCATTTCTTTTTAATTAATCCGCGTATAGAATTGGAAAAAAAGATCAAAAAAGCTATTGTTGTATGTTTCGTGACCAAAGAAAAAATGCAACATTTTGATGATAGATTAGGAGTGAGCATGATTTTCTCAGAACCTTCCCAAGCATTGAGTGCTAATGGTAATCAAGTAAGTTCAAATAAAAAAATTAAAAAAATATCCACTCATCTGTTTTTTTAGTCTGCCTTATTACAACCTCCCACCATTTATATAGCCAATGTCCGCAATTCGTATTTTACCTACACTGGATTATTAAGTTTGCCCAAATCCAAAATTACGGAATTGCCGCATAGCAAAAGGGAAGCTTGGGTAAATGTTTTTGTAAAACTACTGGACGAAAATTCTGGGATCTGGTCAGTGGGTCCTCAAAAATGGGGAAAAGTCGTTTGGTAACTGTAATAAACAACGTTGGATGTAAAGGGGATTGGATCGTGTGTCACATGCGGGATGATCTGATACTATTTAATATTGCAAACAGCATCAGGGGTCCACACCAAAAAAAATATACTGCAAACATAGGCAAAGTGTATTTAAATTATTATATATTTCTATTTGTGCACAATATTTAATGTAATCACAGAGATTAGCTAAAAAACGAGGCAGTGTATTTTGGAATTAAGTTGTTGTGTAGGAATTAAAAAAAAAAGGGTAATATATTTGTGCATTATAAATGGATATCTGACATGTCTAGATACACTCTCAAAGGGGGTTTAACAAACAATACATTTTCCTGATTTGTCCCCCTTCAAAGATAAAAGTTTCGCCAATTGGATCTGTTCGGTATCAGTAATTCTCTAATAATAAGCAGATATAAGTAGCTGGTTTTCCATACGTCATTTATACTCCTTACCCCTTGTTTTGCCTTGACTTGGAGCCGACTAATTTCCTGCTTGACATCCAATCTTTCCTTTCTTTTCCTAAATGCAATCATGTAAGTTCAAAGCTTTGGAAAATCCACATTCGTCGTGCGCATGTATTTTACCTTTCCATCTCTACCCTTGAAGGCTGTTGTGTCTGTGTGTTCTTTTTGGCAGACGGTTTACCTTGGCATTGATGATCGATTTCTAAACGATGCTTGACACAAAAGGATAGGCCGCATTCAGGACAATGCATTGGCACTAACATTTTTGTTGTACAACCCTTTTTACGACATGTGTTATCAACTTTGGGTTGCAAGTCCGAACAATTACTCTGGATATGTTGATTCATCTAAATTGATTTGAACGTTAATTACATATCAAACATATGTTTGAATGAGAAAAACTTACTCTAATATTAGGATCATCACCTCGTTTCACTGGTACAGGCTTATCACAGATGGGACAAATTGGTACACTAAAATCTACAATTAGTTTTTCTATAAAGAACGTCTGCAAATATAATTTACCGAACATCCATGCTGGGGTCTTGTAAACTTGGACAGTGATGGGCTTGTAATTTAAAATGGTCCTGACTATAGCAAATGGTCAGTAAAAGTGTCTGGGGGAGTCGTTGCTATTGTTACCAAAAGATCTTTTTGCAGTTTACACAAGTATAAGGTAAGAAATCTTAAACAAAAGCGTTATTCTCAGGACATGTACAATAACCCTTTAAAAAAAAGTTACCATTAACATTGCAGTTGTCTGCAGTACATTTTTTTCCAAGATCGGGAAACTCCATGGTTGATTAGTGTTGCGTAGTAAAAATAAAGAAGAAAGAAAAGAAGAAAACAGGAACTTGTTTCCTTTTCGAGCCAATTTACAGTGCTTCCAACAAGTAAATGTCACAACCAATCAAAATCAATTTCATAATTTTAGAAATGAAGTGAACATTTTTACAAATCTCCGCTTTGCTTAAAAATCCACAGTGTATGAACTTTCTGGACGAATTGCGTGTCTCTTAACAAATCTGCTTATGGCATCAACATAAACGCTCCAGAGCTTCCTCGATTACAAATCGAGTGCATTACCAATTATGTCTTTTGTTGTTCCAAAAAAGTTACGCGTCCCATTGCTACCAGAAATACTACGAGAGTAAACACTGCGTCTAAATTGGGTGATATCTCTGCTGCAGGTTTGATTGTAGTCGGCGAAAAAAAAACCTAGACCTACGAAGAAGAGAAAGGCTGATAGATACATAAGCCCAGGAACCATAGGTTACTATACTAGCTCTAAAAAATGACTCTCAATAAAATGGACAAACATCCACATATGGAAGGTCGCTCGCTATATGGGCATGTATAATTCACCCGTTCACACGCATGAAAATATAAAAAAGTATTTATTGAGTATGGATGACCTAAAATGTATAAGTTCCTACTTACTCTCCTGAGCTTGACCCGATCAAACAATTTTGGGCAATGGAAAAGAGTAAGATTAAGCGTCATGGGATTTTGCAGGAAAACACTCCATCAGTGATAACAGGATCATGGTTTAGGAAAAAGAAAAGGGTGATATAATAGGGAATTATACAAGGTTGATCACTGTTGCAAGTAACAAATGATAGAATCCGAGAGTGGTTGCTGTTATAGTTGCTCATAAAAATTACTACCGTAATCGACGTACTAATGCCTTACACCACCCAAATATTTTGCAACCCGTTCAGCCATGATATACGACAACGAACATGATCATGGGAAGGAGCCTAAAAGTACGTGATGGTCTGCACAGAAAAATGTTTACATTGATTGACATGCCATAGCATCTTAACTTCATTGGATGATCGATTTTTGTTTTTCATAAAATATGCTTTACTATCAGTACATGCCACTGCTGAAACGCTGATAGACAACAATCAAGTTCCGACTTGCTCTAAATGTTTGCACATGTTTCTATTTTGAGTAAAGGCCCAAACACTTCGGATGGTTAAATAAGCAATTAAATCATCCTGACATAAGCTCGTATTTATCAAATCTTGTTCACACACCTTTTTGATCTTATAAATAAGACACATTCGCACACTATTCTTTTTTCCTTTTTTTTTCCCTCAACATACCTCTATTCTTTTTAATAAAAATAATCGATATTGCAAAAAGGTTAGTTTATAATGACTCTTGTTTTTCAAGAATCACTGATGTATTAGTTCTTTTTTTGAATAGAAAAATACATTGCAATTCTTGCGATATTACGGCTACAGCTAGTCTTTGCTATAGGATGATGACCTCCCAGGTTGGGTTCTTGGGTTTTTGGCACCCACTGGATGGACAGCCTGTAAATAGCAGGGATTTCACTGTAAATGGTTGTGATTATACTGGACGCGTGCAAAGCCTTTGTATAGCCAATGTCACTGCATCACTACTATTGAACAAGCCGGACTTGATGCTGTCTATATTGAAGAATTGGGTGAGAAACGACCGATGATAATGGGACAAGAAGCAATCATCCGTGACCCATTAACCTACCTATCATACGGTGAAGGTAAGCTGATGAGAGGTGCTTTAATTTTGACTTAAGATTCTGACTGCAATCTTTAATATTTCTTATAGTCTTGATTTGATAGGAGAGGATTTTCTTCGTCCAATCAAGGTATAAATTCATCATTGATATGATTTTATATACAGCTGTATTATTTATATCTTCAAACTAACAATGTAATATTTAATATAGAAGTATGTCCTCGTAGTAGTGGACGTTGTATAGCAGTATACAAGTGTATGCAGATATGCAATATCAAAGGGTGTTATTTGTATTTAATATCGTATTTATTCAAACGATTTGCTTATTTATTCTTAAGTGGATCGTACCCAAATACGACTGCTTCATCATCCGAAATATCAAGCGCAGTAGGCAAAATTGTGTTTGAAGGACACGCAACAAAACAGGCAGTTATGGAAGTTTTAAATAGCATATCGTCAACTACAGCACGGAACGAGGACACCTATGAAAAAATAGAAAACATCAGCAACAAATCGATCCGCGATAAAGTCGCAAGATTTATCCCAAGTGTTGCTGATGTACCAATGACAACCTTTTCGCAGTGGTTGATTGGCATTTCTGCCGCGGTATCCTCTATAGTCAATACTTTATCTGGCAACCAGCTTAAAAAAACGAAAATGCTCCAATGAAAAGCAGCTGCTCGTAAGAAGCATGTGGTTTCTCGTCCCCGAGAGACAAGGTATGTGCAAAACTTAAAGATTATAGTGACTTGGAATCTTACTTTTTTTAATAAAGATCAAGCAGTAGCCAGTCTATTCAATAAGCACAGCTACATAGACAGTGTCGTAAATGGGGAATGCACCACAATCGGATACGCTCGAAAAAGTCTCTCCAACGAATCCAAGTCAGTGCGCTTGCGTTTGTTGGAGAGCATGACCTCCATCTTGGTAGACCCTTGCCGGTGCAGCAAAATCTTCGTGACACCACTTTGCAATGCAAATTCGCCTTTGCTGGAACGAGATTTAAAACGCAGCCCGTTAACCAAAGATGTGAGACATGCACATGGTGATATGCAGGGTAAAAAAACAGCGTTATTATCTACAACATTGTAACTCACAGTGATTTTTTTTATTTTTTAGATCTCATTTCGTACGTTAAGACATCCATGCGTCCCATAAGGCTGGTGGTTATTGACTATGCTGGATTGACCACATCACCTCAAGACCTGCTTACTTTTATATCGTAAGTCATGGCTTATTTAATAATGAGCATTATTCTCATGTCCTTTTTATTTATGTTTAATTAGGTCCTTGAACTTGGTGATGTTCGTTGTAGTATACCACGGTCACAGGTTCGAATCTTTCTCCAGGGAAAACTTGCTGAAAGATATTAGCTTTAAAGCCTTTGCATACCGCAAGGCACCAATTCGTCGTTCGAGGCAGTTGCTGTTTCATGAGCAACTGTAGCGACAGCCTCGACAACCACTCTTGGATTCCATCATTTGTTAGTTTTTACAATGATCAACCTTGTATGATTCCCTAATAAATCACTATTTTCCTATTTCCTTATAAACCATAATCCTGCTATTATTGACAGAGTTTAATCGAAAAACACAAGACTAAAAAGAGCTCGGAATTCGGGTGTGCCTTTCAGCTTGTATTTCTGGGTGAGTCGACTTCAAAGAATTATTAATTGATTTTGATTGGCTGTGACATTACTTGTTGGAAGCACTGAAATAAAAAAACAACCCCGCGCAGTCATTACATATTATTTATTTTTTTTTGTCAGAAAGATGGTTGTGGATCACACTAGAACTTTTTATTTTTATTAATCATCTTTACTCATCGCTCCAATGTCCTCCCTCTCAGATGATACCATTCGCAAGGTAACCGCGTACACGCGTCCGGTTAGGACTGATGATTAATCAAACATTGTAGGTCTTTGTTGAATTACAAGCCAAGTTCATTCATAGTCAACAACAAACCAACACAGTAAAGGCACAAATCCAGGGAAAGCAACGTGAACGTAAAATGGCCGAGTTAACCAGACGTGAATTAGACGGTTTGGATGACAGCACAAAGACCTATAAGCCTATTGGAAAGATGTAAGTTTTACTATGAATCAAAGAGGTTACGGGGGATTGACTAAGCTCTTTCTGCAGGTTTATTCAAAGCCCTTTAAGTACCATGAAGAAGCAATATGTTGATTCAGTTGTACAAGCCGATGAAGACATTAAGCAATTAGAAAAGACACAAAAGTATTGGGAACGTCAAGCATCTGACGCCCAAGGTAATTTGAAGGATATTCTTCAAGGTCCCAGAACAATGTAAATACAATAAAAAAGGGACGAAGGAACAAGTATTACCAATGCCGTATATATATATATATGTATACATATATGGGTTTTTTTTTTATATGAGGGTTACAGGTCAAAGGTGTTTCGTAGCATTTGAGATGTTTTTGTATGTAAATATCTTCGTACACCAACGACAGCAGTAGAGGGTCCATTCGTCAAACTTTCACCGCTAGCACTACTATTACCGCTAAATGTACTGCTGTTACTGCTATGAACTGTATTTGTACTTTTTTCCATTTCTTTTGTGGTTTTAGCACCCACACTTTTTAAATATTCAGCAACGGACTTCAATCCTCCTGATTTTGCAAGGTCGAGTGGAGTAGGGACTTGCTTCAATATGTAAGGGTTTGGATAAACACCCAAATCGCCAACAAGGCGAACTACCACTTTTAGTTTTCGATTACGAATAGCGTAATGGAGTGGTGTTTCTCCCTTATTATCTCTTGGGTCCGGTCGGCATTGCCAATCTCGTACAAATAATGTGATGATGCGGGTCTTTCCAGTAATACACGCGTAATGAAGTGGTGTGGCACCTGCAAAATATAGTTTAAAATCATCATTGTTTGTTATTTAATTTTCTAATATTACCATTGTTGTCTGCCTTTTCGAGTAATAGAGTCTGTGATAATCCTAATACGTAACTCACCATATCGTCCGATCCACTTTGTACGGCAGCATGTAATGCGTTTTCACCATACGGACCTTTACACTGGTTTAATAAAGCAATGCCACCCTTTTCAATTAATAGTTTTACACCGTTCAAATAACCTAATTTGGTTGCCAAAAGGATAGGAGTCAATTTATCTTGTACCTTGGAAGCCAGTGGGTAGACATTGATGTGAGCTCCTGCATCCAACACGCGCTGCAACGCAGCTGTATTTTTTACTGCGATGATTGCATGGATGAGACCATAGCCCTCTTTTACATCTTTGACAGTATCTGAATTTTTAGCAATATTCGGGTTACCACCACGCCGAATGTAATTACTTTTTTTAGTTTGTTTACATTAGTTATTTATTTATAATAAATTAAAAAAAAAAAAAAAAGGCGAAATTAGAAGGGTAGATTGTGTACCTGATCAGTGTGTCTACTTCTGCTTTGTTCGTCTTTCCTCTAGCGATGGTATTCCAGAAACCATCACCACAGGCATATTTTAAAACGGGCTTTTCCTCTTCTTTGACCGGGGCAGGTGAAGGTATGCTTTCATTATTATCTTCGGTTGATGACTTTATGGATAGGGGTGACATTAGGGGAGTCATATAAGGGGAATTTGGTAGTGTACAGGAATCGGGATCAGACAGGACAGAGTCAAGGTCAAATTCATTATCACTGAGTGCGTCATAAAACTGAGGCTCTGTACTCTCATCTACCAGAGGACTCCTGATAACGTAGGAGGATGAGCAAGAAGAAGATCTGGCAGAAGAGGAAGAGGTGACACAACTTTTGCCTGATTTACAGCTCGATCGCCGTGTCGAGGCTCGTTGTTGCTGAGCATAATTTTCGTAACGAGCCTTGTAGGTCTGTGCTTCTCGATTTGATTTATCCATATGCTGTGTTTGGATACTCAGTCGATGCTCCAGTTGCTTTTTGGATTGTTCGAGTGTCTCCAGTGAGTCTAGCAGACGGTCGTGTTTATCTGTCCAGAATAGGACAAGTTTATCCATAGCAGTCTGTAGTCGTTCCTGAAGGCTTTTGCAATCGATTTGATCAATCAGTGTGCATAATTCATCCTCCAGCTCTTGTTGTTGGTATTTCTGTGCTATCACGCTTTTGGGTGGCACAGGTGGCAATGAAAGTTTTCGATAATAGTCTTGGTAACTCATAAGAGGGAGAAGGAATGAGAAAATAAAAAAAATAAAAAAAAAAATGAAAGAAAATAATAAATTTCCCTATAATGACCATTGTTTTATCTAAGCATTATTTTTGCCTCCACTCTCCCTTTCTTGTGTATGGAACAAGTTTTTATAAAAGAAAGTGATCTTCCAGTAGTTTTCATTGGCTAAATTACGCCCCTTTGTGACCAGGGAGTAGAGCACAAACCTTTTTTTTTTTTTTTAGAAAACAGCAAGTTTACTGTATTGTTTCCAACAAAGCTCAGGAATTAGCTAACAGTAATGTCAAGCCAACGACAGGCTATCGTTAAATTTGCCTAATAATAACTAACTTTTGGCCCGACCTACTCAAAGGTCACTCAAGTGGATTTTTGTGAAAGAATGATTCGAACTTCGTATAGAAAGACGAGCAGTATTATTAAAGTTTACTTTCTACTCATACAATTCGCTGGCTTTTCTTGAGTTAAAGAGGCTCTTTTACTTCAGTCAAGACTGCATAATAAACTGTAATACATGTCTCATAGCAACCCTTCTTGAGTGTAATGCAGTGCCACCGTGCCAAGCCGGGACTTTGTGGAGTCACAAGCAAATGAGGGTGACATGAATCTCTAATGATAATATTGAGCGTATATTAGGGTGAAAGGCAAGACGATTCAATGTTTGTAGGGTTCAAATGTTCCAGCAATATCTGTTTAACATAATATCTTATACCAACGAGAATCCCAAGCACAACAGCAAAATAAAATCCTATCGAAAAAACGTGCGTTAATTTTTCTCTTTAATACCTGTCTTTCAGTAGTAAATAAGGTTTAGGCTTAAGAGGGTTTTAATTATAAAAAAAAAGTCTACTATGAAAGTTATTTTGCTACATATATTACTTTCGATATAGAGATATTCGCATTGTTTATGTGATAAGCTCAGAATTTACACCGAGCTTTATTTTTCATATTATAATTCTTGGTTGACACAGATTATACATGAAAAGGGGGGGGGGGTAAATATTATTATTGTTGTAAAAGCGTCTAATATAAATATGATGTATATAAATATTTTCTAGTCTGTTTCGGTCATTTCCATTCCCTGGTAACCTTGTCTCTTCCTAAACCGATTTGTCACATCTAATGAAGAAAAGAAGTGTCAGATAAAGATGAGTCCACAAAGAACCTTATATAAAAAGCCAACGATAACACTTACGATCCCATGCTTTAGAAAGAGCGTCTCTATACTTGACGTAACCAAACCAAAAAGGAATTGCGATTAATACAAAACTTAAAGCAATCAAGCTTTCGACGGGGGCTTCGATAAAAGGGGTCGTGCATAAAAATAAGGCCACCATGCAGAACAGAATTGGTGTGGATAACCAAACACGGTAAGGCCTCTTTAGATCAGGTTCGGTATATCTAAAAATAATAAGAGCAAGCACCGCTAAAAAGTAAAATCTATAATAAAATGTGGTTAGTCCTTTCGGATGCTAAAAAGAAGAAGATAAACTTACATCCAAGCACATAGTGAATAGAAATTCACAAGCATCCTGAAACTGCCAATCATGATCATGATGGTGGTGAGACTGGCTTGTAATATCAGTGCCAAAATAGGAGTTTGGCGTGATTGATCAAGTTTCCCAAAGAAGCTGGGAATATGTCCCTGTTTTGCTGATACATAGATGATACGAGCTCCTGTAAACACACTTGCATTAGCTGACTACAAAAAAAACAAAAGGTTAGACAAGGGATGAGAGAAAATGTGTGGATAACTTTACACCAAAACAACTGAGTGCTACACAAACAGCAAAAATAATTCCACCCACAGGACCAAATATCTTTTTTCCAAAGTCCATTGAAATGGTGTTTGTATGCATGACTACTTCAGGGCGAAGGGCAGCCAGGTAAGCCACATTGGACAACATGTAACATAAGATGACTAGAGGGATACCAAAGATGATAACGCGTGGTAAATCACGATGGGGATCGTTCATTTCACCCGACACGTAATTCAAGTTATTCCAGCCATCATAAGCCCATAGGCCTGAATAAAAAGCCACAGCAAACTGTCCAAAACTTATCGAACTAAAGCCGGCGAATGGCTCGCCTTGGAAACTATCGCCGACGACCAGGCCCTTATTGGACAAAACAACGACACCAACAACGGAAATCACAATGGCAGTTAATACTTTAACAACAGTCAAGACATCCTGCACACGGATACCAGCTCTGACGGACAATGCATTAATTAATGTCAATATAAACAAACAAATTACAGCCAATAATTTTGGCAGAAATTTGGGAATAACAGAATCTGCTAATTCTACCGAAGCATCCGAATTATGAGGCACGTTGAAAAAATAGGTATGATATGCGATTCGTGAGACATAGTCACCAAAGACTATACATATAATTGCTAAACTGCCAGGCTTTTTCCATCCACAGGTTAGTGTCGATTTGCATAAGTTTGTTATTTTCTATACCTTTTGAACGACAATGGTGACAAATTCAAATATAAATGATACTAGACTACCGAAAGCTCTACCTAGATAGACAGCCTCGCCACCATTCATAGGTAACATAGTCCCTAATTCAGCATAACATAAAGCGCCTGATAGAGCTAATAGACCTGACAAGAGCCATACGACTAAAGCAGTACCATATGCCCCTGATGATTCCAACACAGGTCCTATATTTTTACAAGAATCAACCATCTTTTCTCTCTTTGTTGGGGTTTTCCTCATAAATTCCTAACCTGGAGAACTAAATAATCCACTGCCAATCATCATACCGACCACTAAGCCTAAACCGTTCCAGAACGAAACTTTCTTTTGTAACTCTGGGCCTCTTGCCTGAGTCTGAGACAGTGGAATCATGGGTATAGTTTCAAAAGAAAAGACCGATGTCGACGACCGATTGGCATGCTGCGTTAAAAGTGTCTGATTGGCTTCTTCTTCATCGTCGTCATCTTGTCCAAAATGATGTGAACCTGTACTGAACAAGGAATCCGAGTCTGATTCGTTAATGGTAAATGTCGTGTCTAGGGCTGCTCCTCCATCGTAGATTGCGTTGTTGTTGGGATTTATTGGTGGCATCTTTTTTTTATTTTCTTTAGTTTTACTCCATGGTCGAAGGAAAGAATGAGAGGGAAACCAGAAAAAAAGTGCCTTTTACAGAAAAAAGACGGAGTACTAAAAAAAAACTCTGTCCATCATATTAATTTTTACCATTTTCTCTCTCTTTTAGTCTTACATTTTCAAATGGAGAAACCAGCATTGACAACAGTGGAAGGATTAAGAATCGCACTAGAGGAATTAGGACTTTGTACAAAGGGGCATAAACCCGAATTAAAACAACGATTCCGAAAGGCAATGAAGAAACAAAAGGACTCTGTAGCTACACCGGCAGCTATAAAAGAAGTGCAAGTGGAAGAGGAAAAAAAGTAAATAAATGCCAAAGTGAATGACAGGGGGAAGCTAACATATCTACAGCGTGCAACCCTTTGACTACTATTTGTTTTTTGACGTGGAAGCAACATGCATTGAGGGAGGAGGGTTTACATATGCAAATGAAATTATCGAATTTCCAGTGATTCTTGTGGACGGGAAGACCTTTGACATTGCAAGTGGATAAATCTGTAGCCTTGTTTCTGTCTCTTATTAACTTTTACTATACAGATTGATGAATTTAGATCGTATGTCAAACCAACCATCAATCCAACATTATCTGATTTCTGCACAAATCTGACAGGAATCACCCAATCCACTGTAGATCAAAGCCCAACCTTTGTCGAAGTACTAAACGATTTCCAAGAGTTTTTATCTAAATACGATTTATTTCAAACTTCTACAGCGGCATTTGTGACGGATGGTCCATTCGATATTCGTGATTTTATCACCAAACAATGCAAACATAGTAAGATAAAACGGAGACCCGCCTATTTTGATATACCTTGGGTCGATATACGCAAGTTATTCAGAGAGTTTTACCACCAGAAAGAGAACAAGAATATCAATAATATGCTTTCGCATTTAAAAATGGAATTCCAAGGAAGAGAGCATTCAGGTCTAGATGATGCACGAAATCTAGCTGCTATTGGGAAAAAAATGCATGAACAAGGTTGTCTCTTCAAAACAAATTGCAGATATGATCCTAAGAGACATAATGTTGGAAGGAGACAAAGAAGATGATTTAATTCGGCAGATCCTTGTACCGAGCGCTAAAGAATATTTTTTTTTTTTGCGGGAAGAATAAAATTATAATTCGCCTCTTTTGACAGTCAACCTCTCTCTCTCCTTCTCTCTATTAAAATGGGTTGGACTTTTGCAGATAGCTCAATTGTAGCTGGTTATATTTCTATTTTGTTTTGGCTCATTGTCTTTATACCGTAAAACATATTTCTGTAATGTTAACAACTCGACTCTAATCAGATTCTTTTTGACATGTAGACAATTACTGGAGAACTACAAGCGAAAAAATGGCGATGGACTCTCACTTTCGTTCCTATTTATTTGGCTCGCAGGAGACATATTTAATTTGGCAGCAATTATTATGGAAAGGCTCATGTTAACCATGGTAAAATATTTTGACATAATTTTACAAAAGGCATTTGTTTTTTTTAAAAACTGTGGGAATTTTTCTCTAGTTTCTATTGGCCCTGTGGTACACAGTCGCTGACATTTGTCTGATTTGGCAAGTCGTTTATTATAAACAGTGTGTCACCACAGAACCAAACTCTAATGAAGATGAAGCCGTCGCTTTAATAGCAACAAAAACCATCAAACAGAGAAGACCAAGCGTGCTGGATTCTTCAGACGAAGTTTCGGATGAGGAAGAAGAAGCATTAGATAACGACATTGTGCCTGCGAAAGAAAAAATGAATCCAATTTGGATTAATCTTATCGGTTTTCTTGTACTGACTGCAGTCACCTTAACATTTTGCTATGCTTATGTCATTGTTAAAAAAGTCGATGATGAAAACAGTATTAGGCTTATTCCTCAAATATTGGGCTGGTCCAGTGCTGTTTTATACGTAGGAAGTAGAGTTCCGCAGTTAATTAAGAATTGGCGCCAACAAAGTACAGACGGCCTAAGTTCTGGTATGTTTATATGTGCTGTCTTTGGGAATCTATTCTTTGCATCGGTAACAAAAACAAATACAGTAACACTGCTAGAATTTTTCTTTATTAACAATTTAAGCACAGTCTATATTTTTAAAATCCACAGAGAGAAGATACATCATTGTAAACTTGTCCTGGATTATTGGAAGTTTAGGAACTGTCATTTTTGACATCATGGTAAATTAGTCACAATTTAGAAATGCATTCGACTATTAAACTAAGTCTCGCTTTAGATCTTCCTTCAGTTTTATGTATTTAATCGTCGCAAGCTCAAGCACAGAGCAGACTAACTATATCAATTTATGCCGCATCACATTGTATATTACCCCGTTTTATCTCAGCTCCCCCCCCCCCCTCCATTAGAAAAGAAAATTGTAAATAAACGAACCCTTTTTAAATTTTTTGTCATTGTTTTGATGAAGTAATAAGCTCACTACCGCAGTACCACTACAAATTTTCAGACCCTCTAGCCATAAATTATGGCCCATGTGCTACGGCCTCAGCTTAGTATGAGTATCCAAGATTGCGGCTTACATGATAAACAGATTAAGAGAACTGACAAATTTTAACCAGTATCCTTACAATGTATCTCGATTATTCAATAATTCATGAATTCATGACAGTCCAATTGCTCAAGTATTTTATCGAAATGTATTTGGCAATCTACTATCCCTCGAAAAGAACGACTGCGTTCTGCTGCCTGGGTGCGTAGGAGTTTCGCCTCTAACTCCCGTGATTCCTTCGAAATTTGTTACCAAACCAACAAGCGCAAATAAAAGTATTAAGCAAATTCGAAGTGTTCTGGGTGAGTATAGCATATATCTGTTTTGATACGTACTGACTGATTGTAATAAAATGTAAACTAGTAATTTCCATTACAAGTGCTTGTGTCATGGTGCAAGCAATGCGCTATTTGATATTACTGGTGCCATTCTTGTGGAATGTGCAACAAATGGAGTTCATTTTAAAAAAAGGAACCAGCTTGTTCTTTACCCCCAAATGTGTGAATAAATAACACGTTATTATTATTTTGGTTTTTTAGTTTTAAAGCCACAACACCTACTTGTCTCATTGGTAGAATATTCTCAATAATCTTTTTGATTTTTTTTTTTTTTACATGGTGCGTGAAACATACACGATATACTCTCACTGTAAGTATCTATCCGGTCGTTCTAAATTCATACATGAAAAGAATATCTAGATTTATCTGAATCTATCGGATTGTTCAAGTTGTGTAAATTTTATAATTTGAAACATTTATTGTATTAAGCAAAACTATATGGCGTATAATTTAAGGAGTGTGGATAGTTTATGCGAGGCCACAACGGCCCTTGAGACAACTTTCTTTACAATCGTCGGAAGTCTTACAACAGGCATTGTCGCCGCCCTTGCCGTTCTTCTTACCAAAGAAGCCAGATTTACAGGCATCGGGAGTGGGAGCAGGAGCTTTGGTTGTAGTCTTAGTAACAGTAGCAGTCTTGGTGTTTACAGGACCATTGCAGACACCCTTAATACAGTCATCTCTACAGTCGGATTGGTCTTCACAACAAGCGCCCTTGTAACCATCACCTTTACCGAGACCAATAGAACCGGGTGTACAAGTACCAGGAGTAACTGTGGGAGTAGCAGCAGCAGATGTAGTCTTAGTAGTCTTGGTGTTAACGGGGCCATTGCAAACACCCTTGATACAGTCATCTCTACAGTCAGATTGGTCTTCACAACAAGCGCCCTTGTAACCATTGCCTTTACCGAGACCAATAGAACCAGGTGTACAAGTACCAGGTGCGTCAGTAGGAGTAGGGGGAACAGCAGTAGTGGAAGCTGCTACAGTAGTGGTCTTGGTGGTCTTAGTGTTGACGGGGCCATTGCAGACACCCTTAATACAGTCATCTTTACAATCGGATTGGTCTTCACAACAAGCGCCCTTGTAACCATCACCTTTACCGAGACCAATAGAACCAGGTGTACAAGTACCAGGTGCGTCAGTAGGAGTAGGGGGAACAGCAGTAGTGGAAGCTGCTACAGTAGTGGTCTTGGTGGTCTTAGTGTTGACGGGGCCATTGCAGACACCCTTGATACAATCGTCTCTACAATCAGATTGGTCTTCACAACAAGCGCCCTTGTAACCATCACCTTTACCAAGGCCAATAGAACCAGGTGTACAAGTGCCAGGAGTAGCTGTAGGAGTAGCAACAGCGGTGGTAGTCTTTGTAGCAGTAGCAGTCTTAGTGTTAACAGGGCCGTTACAAGCACCTTTAACGCAATCATCTCTACAATCATCTGCGTCAGCACAACAATAACCTTTGTATCCATCTCCAAGACCAAGACCATACGAAGCAGGGTCACAAGAACCAGAAGGAGCACTGGGGCCAACGCAAACACCCTTAACGCAATCATCGATACAGTCAGCTTGAGTTTCGCAACAGTAGTTTTTAAATCCATTGCCTTGACCTGCACCATTGCTGGAGGTAAGAATACATTTGCTAGCAGAATAAGGAGTGGCAGCTGCATTGATTTGGGACGCGGCAGCGACAATCAACATGATAGAGTAAGAAATTCTCATTTTTGTTTTGTTTGTTGTTTTTAAATGATAGTAAGGGATGTGTGATAATGAATTTAAAGAAAGCAGTTTCTCTCTCTCTTTATATATAATTTGTATGGGCACACAAAAAAAAAAGGTCCATGATATTTTTAAACCTGAGAATACTAAAAAGAGACATTGAATTCAGAAAATCTTTAATATCACTCCTCTACAGGTAGAGTAAATACTATTTATAAATTTAAGAGTTTCGTTGAAATAGTTTTTTCTAAATTTGTTGAGTATTAAATTTGTTATTTTATATTATGTATATCGGGGACATGGTAAACAAATGCTTGTCAGACATTAGGTGAATTAAAAAGGGCCTACTTTACTATATATGAGTACAAACTAATTTAAGAAGAGTACCCATCTTTTGGATGAAATTATGGAATTTATACATTTAGGTTATTATGGCCTAACAATAATTGTCAAAAAGCGCTTTGTATAGAGCCATTGTAAACTTTAATAGTGATAATAGTTGATTGTTCACAGCTTTAAAACAAAAAGGTTGAAAATATAATTAAAGAAGTTTTATTGGAAACTCTCTTTTGTTTGTACAGCTTCTGAGATTTGTATTTTTGTAGAAAGACATGACATAAAAGGATATTTTCTGTAATCAAAGAGTACTCCATTAATAGACAATATGTAAAAAAAGATCAACTTTATACGTATATGTAGCAACCGTTACGTGCAAGGTTGCAGAAACCCCAATTTTAGGCACATTTCCAAAAATAGAATTTACCATCAAAGGGCATTAGCACTGTGTACCATCACAACATCACACAAATATCAAAATATGGTAGCAAAAATACCGTAATGATCTGTTTGTTCTCATGGTTTAATTGACGCAGCATTGATCAATAAAACCATTACAGTACTTTTTCTCTCTCCCTCTTACGCAGACTTGAATTACACGTGTATAAATCCTTCGATTTACACAGGCGTAGAATGATCTCCGGTACTGTGTCACCTCTGAAAAAAAAATTGTCGCTTTCGTTCAGACCGGGAAATAACCAAAAGGTACACGGAAACCTTTTACTCCGTTCTCATTTAAGGGGGTATATTTGTTTTGTCATTCGACTTTTGTGTGGGTAACTAACCAACGAATGGTATTTTATACATCGACGCATACTTTAATATGCAATACATAAGCATCATTTTGAACTTGACACAAAGTTACATACATATTACAAAAAAGATCTTAAGCTTTGATTTTACAAATGAATTAAAATTGCCACACTCATGCCACACTGGCAACATGTATCACCCTGGTTTTTATGAATGGTACGACATCATTAACGTATTATAGCGCAATATATGAACTCAACGCAAAAAAGAAGAAAAAATCTATTCTCACAACAAAAATTGTTTTAGGAAATGAAGCACTCTTCTCTGCCCCTTTTTCTATAATCTATTGGAATGGGTTCGTTTTCAGCGTGACATGAATCGTTCGTACAACTCTGTTCTAATGGTGTCTGAGTTGAACACGAGTTTTAAATATATTTTTGAGTAGCATATGGCGCTTATGTTTATAAATTTTATAACAATATTAAATTATGATACGCTCAAAGTGCAATAATAATGTTCCCAGGAGCTGTATATATAGTGAAACAAAATGGACAGACATGTCATAAATTATAAACATGCATCCAACCAGAAAGTCGTGTGTAAGTTTTTTTCATGTTTGATCATATGAAATAATTTTCAAAGTTATAGATCTAATGGTCTTGTACAGATGAACACATCAATTTTTTTCTTTTTTTATTAAGGATTATAACTTTTTACATTATTAGTATGAGTGTCTTTTTTCTTGCGTTCAATGTGCAACTTTGTAGTCTTTCTTGTTATTTATGCTCAAATCGAAGGCTAAATATCAATTATACTTTTTCCGTGCGTATCTTTAGAAGTAGCAATTGGAGGATGGTAATAGTTAGATTTATCTCATTTGCTTCTAAGTCGTATAACTTTTTCAGTAGTATAAAGAAAGAATCGACATAAATGAGGCGATGAATTTTAAAATTGGATCATCTGACTTTGTTCATTCTAACAGTTATTGGATTTTTTAGTGCGTAAATTTTTACTGAAAAACGGATTTCTTCAAACTTAAGAAATGTAATCACAAATATTTTATGGAAGTTTTAATATGCTACGGATGCCACAATCTTAGTAACGGATTTAAAAAAGCTACCAGAACCAAGCTTTAGAAATGGTAACTATGATAACTGCGTTAAGTTCGGATCAAATCAGTAAATCAGGCTATTAGTGCCGCATAATATGTCAGAATGCGCAATTATAGGAGCATCTAAGTATGCATTTGAGAACCGCATTTTTGCGTTCAAGCCATATCAGCTTCAACTTTTAAGGTTGCAAGATAATAGACCTTGCCGATATAAGTTTTTTGCTGCCTTTGTTCAGGCATCTTTTTTTAAAAGACGCGCCTTATGCTCCATATTATGTGCCAACTACCGTGTAAAATTTCAGCGTAAATAAACTAATTTACAAGTACCATTATACAGTATTTAACTGGAGCCAAACTATAGAATAACATATGCCAATGATGCTACACCCATATTAAATACCCCGTTCGATTTTTTTCATTTTTCATTTTTATGTGGTCAAAATTATTGACATACCCACAATCAATTCCAACTTCGTCGGACAATAAATCAACTCGGCTGTTGTTTAAAATACTGGAGTTGTACAGGAAAGGATGAACGTGAATTTGCCACAAACTATGTTTGTCAAACCTGCAAAGCAATCTGGATGCTGCAGCTAGTTTACACACCATAAGCATACTGGAAACCTTAAACATACTTTGTGTTGTAGCATATAAACACCTGTAGAATATATTCATGAAGCTGGGCCTTATCTTTTGTTATTATTATTTTTCTATTAAAATAAATGTAGCCAAAATAGATTTTGCGAATGTACAGATTTTGGCATTGCAAGACATGCTCTTTTTTGTGTCCTGTTTGAAAGAAAGTGTTTAAAGTCCAATGGAATTAATTACAGGTGTATATACCTAACGTAAAATGTTGGACCAATGATTATGTTGGAAAGCATGAGTGTTTACAGTAGAAATGTTGATGTTGCTTGTTTGAGTCATGCACGCGTAAATGGTAATGTTAAAAGTAACAATTCAAGGGTAGGCACAGCTTTCAATAAAACTTTACCCTTACACGCTGTTTCTATGCCAAAAAATGTAAAGCCTTTTTTTATATGTCGGTATGGGGTGTCTTGTTTTAAAAGTAACAGCAGGGTTACAAAAATGACTATGCACTTAATTATTTGTTTATGTAATCTCCTTGGTAGTAATAACAAGGGACCATCTGTAGAGGAGGAGGAAAATATGACTTATCTTTTAACAGCGCAATAAACCGACAATAAAGCAACGGAAGCTCAACGTGAAACTAGAAAGGGGCCAAAATAGAAAACTTGTTGAAAGAAACACGCCTTTAGAAATGGATGTTTAACAGTAGCGAGACCCATTGATTCAGCTTCTTGAAACTACGCCTTATAGTGAATATCTAAATCTGGCCAAGCGGAATCGACATATGTATACCTAAAAATAACGTAAACAAGGCGTAAATTGTTTGTCTCTATCTCTCGATCCTGAACTGTTTATGCAAGCACAGATAAACAGATATACTCTTTTTTCATTTTTCTTTTCATAAATAATCGTATTCGCACTTCTTTTAGTCAATTCCTTTATTATTATTATTATTATTATTATTATTATCAAGCCAGATTAAAATACATTCTTCTCATAGATTTTTTTGTTTCTGTTTTAACTCTTTCTTTATCACGGAATATTAACGTTTCTCCAACACATCTGTTTATTGATAGATTACATAAGCCAGCCAATCACAATTATACCGCATGCTAAAAAGGATCTAAAAATTCAAACTCATTTAAAGTTTCTTGCCCAAAATGGCCAAAGAAGTATTTTGAAACAAAACTGGGCGAAGGCGTTCATTATCGTGGGAGTAAAAAAAAAAGTATATTTTTTTATGTTTTTTCTCGCTCTTTTCTTTCTATTCTTCATTATTTTATTTCAAAAAGCACACATATGCCGGAAGTGGCATAAGCGGTATTCATAGTTAATTTAAATAAAGTCTTATAAAATCGATGAGACACTAATGAAGGATCTTTATTCACCGGAATAGCTTCTTTGTAATTATTGCGGATGCTTACTATAGTGACTACTGTACGGTTTTGTGATGGACGTCACCAGTACAATTATTATTGTACCGAGATTTAATCTCATATGAATATCTGTTTAAGAGAGAAGCTTATACATATCAAGTGTTTATAGCTTCTCAATTACGACACTGGACGTTCAATTGAATAACAGAAGTGACAGACGCGTCGCACAAAGATTCGACGCCAGAAGACAAAGTAAGCGCGAAAAAGAATTAATGAAGTCGTCCCACAACGCAAGTAATATAATGCAAAAAAAGAGTCGCAAGAAAGCAGTAAAAAAATTTCGAATTGCTGCTACAACACCCATTGCTTCTGTAAAGCCGCGTCCAATTGCCCCTTCTGAGGATACGTCTAGTATAGCTATGGAGTTACTCTACCAACACTCAGCAAAAAAAACAATCGGTCCTTTTCTTATAAAAGGACCTCAAAAATAGTTAATAAAATTGTGATGTTTGAAATATGATAATAGATAAAACAGAATAAAAAAAAAGTAATAAGAAATGAGTCTCTATAATTCTTTATCAAAGTTATGGAGAGAAATTCATCGCAAAAAGAAGGACACTTTTTATATCAAACATCTGGGAGATTGAATCTGGTAAGATTGAATCTGGTAAGGAATAAGCAGTGGCTTGTTTCTATCTTCTGAAACATGGCACTTTATTTATATAATTACATGGTCTTAAGTCAATCAATACTATCTGTGCTAAATCACACATATAGATTGTACATATAATAAATTCATATCTCATCATCACTGATAAATGATAGCTAAATCATGATCAGGCATAAAAAAGGAATTCGCTAAAGCCGGTCACTATTTTAAAGTGTCACGGTATCGTAACACCAATGTCCAAACTTAAGACATGTTATTGTT